GGTATTTGGACTGGTATTTTGGAAAGATGGATTTTTGCCCTAAATTGATTATCATATCTATTTTGTACAAATAGTTGAAATTGGTGTTGCAAACATGGAATTGAGTATATGATGCTTCACCCCTTGGAAATTTGGTTAAGTTATTTGTCTTGTGATTGCATATCTGTTTAGAAATATTTGTATTAGGCTATCGGTGGAGAATAGCTTTGTTTGTTGTAGAAATTACATGTGGATTAGGTGAATTGAAACTAATCCATGGTTGAGTATCATTGAATATGATCATGTTGTGAATACATTGCATATGTATGATTGTGTGGGAGGAGAAAGAGAATGGACTCTATTGTTTGGGAGAAGAAAGGGGATGGACTCCATTATAATTAAGTTGGCCGAAGTGTCCTGGGTGAAAGTCCCGAAACTATACATGTGTGCCGATCCCGTGGACGAAATATCCGTAAAATGGCAAATTGAAACTATACATGGGTGCCAATCCCGTGAACGAAATATCCATAAAATGATAATTGGAAGTGGTTGTATGTTGATTGTGAAATTGTTGAACCTTTGAGTTATAATCTCTTTAGGTTATTGAAAAATAATGGAATTGGCTTATGTATTGAAATGAGTTGAAAGAGGATGAAATGGAATAAGGTCTTAGTATTTTTATGACTATATAAAAATGTGAATGTTTAACATTTGTCATTGTATATGCATACTGCACTTATATCTTCGTTAAACCTCATATACTGTATTAGATTGTTCATATTGGGCTGTGGCTCACCCTATTTGGGAAAAATATTTTCAGGTATTGATGGCATGCCTTCACCAAGACAATAGCTTGGAGGGACTTTTGGGAGCACGAGCTTCTTTGTTTTGATTGTATATTTTTGTATAGCCAAGGGTTTTATTTGTAAGAGCTAGTCTCTCTTTTGTTATAATCAAGTCAAGGCTTGAAAATGTATAAGCCGGTAGGACATTTACTTATGTTAAACATTTTTGTGTCATTAAGTTCGTGAAATGAAAGGACTATTTACTCTGATTTATGTAGCTATTGACAATGTCTGGGTTGTATTTATTGTATTATTTTGGGGTGTCACAAATTGAATCACATTTGAATCAACTAATTTGGATTGAAATCACTTGATAGATTGGTTTCTTGGTTTAATTGATTAATTTTTTATTTTGAAATCTAAATTATTTGTTTTATAATTGTATGGATTGTGTTTCAAAAGTAATTTTGTATGTTTTTTTTATTCAGAAAAAAAAATAGTGTTCATGAAATCCCTATCAAACTGTGCTTAATTTTTTCGGTTGCTGTTGCCACAACAGCCTCTATAGTCACGCGTGTTTGACGGCTGATGATCTAATGATCAAATTACACCAAGTTTTATAAAATTAAACAAATAGGGTTTTGTTTGACTCTGTATTGCAACATTTAGGGTTTTGTTTGCCTTTGTATTGTAACAGATAGGGTTTTGTTTGGCTCTGTATTGTAACAGATAGGGATTGGTTTGGCTTTGTATTTCAACAGATAATATTTGGTAAAAAAAAATTTGAACATATAGAATTTTCACATATAAAATTCAAAAAAAAAATTGAACTAGTAATAAAACTTGGACATATATTTGAACAGATAGACAACAAATTTGAATCGATATATAAAAAAAATTTGAACAGATAATAAAATTTAGGCAGACAAAAAAAAACAAATAGACAAAAAATTTGAATAGATAGATATAAATTTGAACAGATAATTAACGAAAAGTCAAACAGATAAAAAAAGTTAAGAGGTAAAATTGTAAATAAAATGTTCTCTAGTACTTCTCACAAAACTATTTCACAAAGTGTGTATCTCTCACTAAAAAAAAAGAATAAAATAAAATAAAATAAATATTGGACCTAATACCTTAAACAATTGTTATGGTGAATTTTTTACTAATTTTCTCTACTACTAATCCTTGAAACTTGTGTTTTATTGCATTTCACATTTTAATTTTTTTTATTTTATCAATTTATCATCTCTAAAATAAGTCTAAGTTGACTAACGAGACCAGGGTTATTTTTCATAATTTTATCCCAAAAAAATGCAATAAAATTTAAAAAAATTATGGATCAAAATATAAAAATGTTCATATTTTAGTGATAATAAAATAAAATTATGACTCTAAGGATCATGTGTCTATTTCAATGTTTTGAAAACCGGACCGGTGAGTGAACCAGAGAAGGGACTGGGTGAACGGGTCACTAGTTCAACCGCTGGATCGAAACGGTCGAACCGTGACGTCATAATTACATCATATATATATATATTAAAAACATAAGTGTAAAAATGAAAAAAAATAATTAAATTCAACAAAATAATATAATTTCAAATATCACTCACAATGAAATTATGATTTGCAATAATAATGTGACATATCTTATTTTTATTTGTTGAAGACCTTTCTCTAAATGGGTTGCGCAACACTTTTGACAAGCAAAATTCACCGCACAATCTACACATATATCAAAGTTAGAATATAGAACATATTATAAATATAATCATAATAATGAAAGTAATAAAAACATTATACTAAAAGCAATTAATATTACCTATTTATCAAATAAAAACACAAATATAGTTCAACAAACCCGACCGATTCATAATAACCCAGTCTAGGTCATCGGTTTTGCCAGTTCAACTGGTGGTCCATCCGGTTCTTGCATTGTACACTGGTTTTTATCCTAGTCCGAGTTTAGAGGTTTTTCCGAACCAGAACAAGGCTCGATCTAATCCAGTTGGTTCGACCAACTGTGCCGGTCCGGGTTTGTAAACATTGGTCTATTTGATCCATTTGATTTTGTTGATTTTTTTTTTTTTGTAAACTTCTGAAAATATCTTAATTTTGATTAATTACATCAAAAATCTCTAAATTATTTTTTTATTGTACATTAGTTTTTGATCTTTTAGGGTGTGTTTAGTTTGTGTTTTGAGATAAATATTCAAAAAAAAATTGGGGGAGAGAGTTTAAATTTTTTTGTTTGTTTATTTGGTTGTATATTTTGAAAATAGTTTTGAAATTTGGGAGTTGGGGATGATTTGATATTTTGTTGTAGTTGAGTAAGAGAGAAAGAAGAGAGAAAAAGTGATCGAGAAGGAAAAGGGAGAGATGAGAGAAAAAAAGTGATTGATTGATGTATAGGAGAGAGAAAGTGATTTTGAATTTTTTTTTCAAAAAATTTGAACTAAACAAAATTTTGAAATTTTTTCTTAAATATCTTGAGATACAAACCAAACAAACCCTTAAATTTTTTCAATTTAGTCATCAAAATACTAAATAGAGTTTCAGGGTGTGTTTAGTTTGGTTTTGAGGGATAAATTTTCAAAAAATATTTTGGAGAAAGTTTAGAAATTTTTTTAATTTGTTTGGTTGTATATTTTGGAAATAGTTTTGGAGTATGGAAATTTGGGATGATTTGATATTTTGTTGGAGTCAAGATCATCTGTAACCCTTTCCTGCAACTCTTTCCTGCAGTGCCCCAAACTACGTCGTTTTGGGATAAAACTTTCAAAAAAAATATACAACCAGCATCAGCAGATAAAACATAACCTCTCTTCTTCCAGCGGTCCTTCCCCGCCGCACCTCTCCTCCTTCCTTTTCCTCTTCCTTTCTTTTTTTCTTTTCCTTCTAGATCTAGACAAAACATAGAGAGGATATATATATATATATATATATCAAAACAAACAAATATACAAATGATTTTACCCAAAAAAAAATTGAAATCACAGAAGTGGGTTTAGTTGAGAGAGAAAAAGATGAGTTTGCTTTACATGGTGACTACAACTAAAAAGTGGGTTTAATGTGGGTTTGTTTTGTGGGTTTAAAAGTTAGAGAGAGAAGTGGGTTTAATTAGAGAAGTGGGATTGCTTTGTAGTTTTTAGAGAAGCAGAAGGAGGAGGGGGAGTAATTATTTCATGGAAGTTGGAATTTATGATAGGATCTACAAGACAATACAAGATATTGCAATTACAAACACATGGAAGGATGGTGATTTGCATCATCATCAACTACAAAAATTATATCTAAACATTGTATGTGTGAATCTAAATCAGATTATCAATAAGATGTATGTGTGAAATTGAAAGAACTGAGAGAGAAATCTAGAAGGAAGAAGACGAAAATCTGTGTAAACCAGAAGAGAGAAGACAATGGAGAGTTTATTTGCTGCTACTGGTTGTATTTTTCTTCTAAGTTTTGCCCCAAAACAAGGTCGTTCGTTTTGGGGCACTGCAGGAAAAGGTTGCAGGAAAGGGTTTCAGAGGATTTGGACTCATTTTGTTGTAGTTGAGTAGATATATGTGAGAGAAAAAGTGATTGAGAATGAAAGATGAGAAAAAAAAAGTGATTGATTAATATATAGAAGAGAGAAAGTGATTTTGGAAATTTTTTTCCAAAATCACTAAACCAAACAAAATTTTAAAAAATTTTCTCCAAAATTATTCTCCCAAAAACAAACCAAACAAGGCCTCCATGCTTTATCCTCATTTCGTATAATTTGATTAATGGAAGTTGAGGTATTTTTGCAATTTTACATGAAAGCTATACATAAATAAACAAAATGATCAAATAGTTAAATATACACAATGGTCCAAAAGTTTAACTTTTTATTGCATTTTGATTCCAACAAAATTTTGCTATGTTGCATTGCCCACATAATTTTGTTCCCACAAAAATTAACAATCAAAATAATTTTAAAAAAAAGTAACAATCAATAAAAAGAGAACAAAGAAACTGAAGTTGTGCACATTTTAGGCTTAATCTTTCATAAAAATGTTTGTAATTGATAAAATTATTCAAAACACGCTGGAATTTTAAGAGTAACAAATCAAATGAAAATTATATCAAATGATATGTCTCAATTTTTGCAAATCAAATAAAAAAAATAGCATAAACTTGTCTAACAACACATGACTGTACACTCCATTAACATATTGAGACTATCATTGAGAAACTGGGAGTAGCAACTGTAATACCATCACATATAAATTTGTTCCTCAATTCTACACAAGACATAAGTGTATGTCATCATAAAAATACTGAACTCCACAATCTATTCGATATGGCTTTCATACAGGCAATTTACAAAGAAATTAATAAAAATGTTATCTAGCAAAAAAATTACAATCACTAAAAGATTTGTTCCCCATTGAACTCAACTCCCATTATTGAGTGAAACTAAGCTTTCTTTGTAAATAAGCACCTCTAATCTGTCTCTTTTACCCTGAAGTCCAAGGTTTTTAATTTTCCGGGTATGAGAGTTGAACATAACCAACATTCCACAACTATTTTCCAGAACAAACTCGTCGTTCTTCCAAAAACCCAATGGCCTTTCGACTCTTGAAAGAGGTCCAATCGTTGACAATTTGGTCCAAGACTCATCAACACCAAATTCGTTCAATACCCATAAATCGAAAAATTTCTCAACTTGTTTCATACGATAAACAATTAGGGCTATGGATTCGTTCATAGGCACAATAGACCGAATAACTTTGTTCTCTCCCCCGAGATCTCCAATATCAAATGGTAGTGGAATTTTGTGAAATTTCTCATTGGACATATCAAATGAAAGGATTACCTCAATGTTACCATCTTTTGCCCACCAACAAAAAGTTTCTGATTTATATAGCATACTCCAAATGTTAAGAAACATGATATTTGCTGGCACGATTGCATGGTATTTTCTCCATGAATTTGTACTCAAATTGTATACCTCGACTTGATAAGCAACCCCGAGTTGTTTAGAAGAGCAAAACAATATTTGCACTACCTTGTAATCATTAGCTTTGGAATCGAAGCCAAAAGCAAGATCACCACCAAGGACTTTGGCATCATGTGGGCGTGATATTTGGGACACCGGGAGAGACTTGAAGTCTCTAGTTGCGGGGTTCCATAAAGCAATGTTATCAGGAAATCCATATAAACAAACAATGCCATTACATGGACCAATGAGTCGTACGTGACCAAAATTGTTGTTAAAAAATGGAGGTACATCGAGGCTCATAGGCTCGGCTAGATTGTCATTGGTGAACAATGAGACGAGTCGTTTATTGGAGTGGTTGTCACGATGGCAAACGAGGAGGCGGGGGATTCCTTTGTTGTTGAGGTGTTTGGAAATAAAAGCAAAATTTGTGATGACAATGTAGAATGATTTGCAGACAGCTTTGAATCTCAATAGTGATTTCACTGGCAGCCTTAATAAAATTTCAAACAATACATCTTCGGGAAGATTCATCAATTTTGTTTATGTTTTCTCTTTTATTCTCCTCATTGTTTGAACATTTTCTCAACTGGGTATTGTTTTGTGTTATTTGATAACCTTGACAGCAATAACAATGGAAGAAAACGAACCATCAATAACAGCCATTAAAGACTGAAGGCCAAACTCTCCAAAAAAAGAAAAAGACTTCAGGCCATCCAAAACCAGTCCACTACTTCCTAAAAAAAATTTGAGGCTATGAAAATCAATCCACACAACAAGCTGAAATGCAATGATAATTATATCATAATATTAATTCTTATGTTTGGTTCCCTACAAAAAAATATGTGAAAAATATATTAATTGTGAATTAAATTATCATTCATTATATCATTTCATAAAAGCATATTAATTATATAGTACCAAACACTAAATTACCTGCACCTCACTAGGAGGTTAGTAATTTGAATCTCTCCACTTGTATGTAGGTTATATACCTCATGTATTAATCGGGCTATCTCTCCCACTTTGGAAGGTTATTTGTAAAAATTTATATGGTATTTGATTTTCACTATCATGAGTGTAATTCATTAGATTTTATTATAATATCTTATATGAATCAAATCTTAAAAAAAAAAAATTTGTAAGACTATCATTGAGAGCCTAAAATATTCTGATAGATAATGAGGAATTAAACAGTGGTTTGCAATTACAGTTGTCCAAATTTATTATTATTTTTTTATGTGTAACATTATTAAAAAAAATACGTAATGTTATAAAAAACTATATAATTTAATTTTTGAATCACAAATTAACATAACACTATTAAAAAATTATATAACATTTATATTAAAAAAATACAGGTAATAGCTATAAAAAAATAATAATAAAATACATATAAATACACCTTTGTATCAGAGGTATTATTTATGGGGAAATTGCAATTCAGTGCATATTCTCAAAATAAATTTCAAATTAGTGGTAAAGCTTACCAACTTTAATAATTAAACGGATAAATTTTTTTATGACTTTACAATTTTTTTTTATCTTTCAACTGATTTGTAATTTTTCCATTATTTATTTACATAAAAAGTCAAAAAGTCATACAAAAAAGTTAAAGATTTTATTTTTTCTCTATTTTTAGCCTTTTTTTTTCCAAAAAAAACCAAAAAAATCCCAAATATACTACTTTTTTATCTCTTATTTTAACAAAAAAAAAATTATTAAAATATCCTATTCCTAAACTCGAAAAAAAGTATTAAAAAAAAACTATCGGGCACGATCTAGTAAAATAGTAGTACCTGATAAGATAAAACTGACCCGACCCGCCTAATATACACATATAATAGTACTAAGGTCTTGTTTGGGAACGAATTATTTTAATAATTTTTTATGAAAAAATATACAAAAAAATAAAAAGAATAATATGACAAATTATGATAATTTTTTTAACTTTTTAATTAAAATGTATAATTGAGAAACCAACCTAAAATCCCTAAAACCTTAGTGTGAATTACCAACACACTACTGCCTAGTTAATTTTGTCCACCGCATACTCCTACTATAAAATGGAGGCTGAACTAGGGTTTGTACGTTATCCATTTGTTGCAACCCACGGGTCTCTCACCCTCTTCTCTTTGCCTCCATAGCTCTACTCGAAAGCTCCCAAGAGGTAAATACCTTTAACCCTCTCTCTCTCTCTCTCTCTCTCTCTCTCTCTCTCTCTCTCTATGTTTGGTGTATATATGTATGTGATGGTCTGATTGTGCTTGAGTGTTAGATCAGATCTGATGTTTCAAGACATGGGTTCTATCACATATAGATGAACAAGAATTTGAGGTTTTTATATGGATTTCTGTATATATTTAGATATATAGATGTATAATTTGTCTACTACTCATATGTGGCCATACTGAGAGCAGAACTAGTGTATTTTACTTCAGTTGTCATCTAACAAAACAAAAAACAAAAAACAAAAACATTCAGCTAATAATATTTGTTTCACCCATTTGTTGTCTATTAGAATAGAATAGAATAGAATATTTTAATTTATGAATTGGGTTGTGACCTGATACTGTTGAATGTGGCAAAGTTAAAAGGCTAATGATTTGAGTGTAGAGATTGTTATCCACTTCTTATTTCTTAGTGTTCTTTATTTATGGCAGATGAATGTAGAGAAGCTTATGAAGATGGCCGGTGCTGTCCGCACCGGTGGCAAGGGTAGCATGAGAAGGTTTGTTTATGTGTTCAATTTATTGTTGATTCTTTCTTATTTGAGCAACTAATTGAAGGGTTAAAAATTTGCATTGAGCTTTCAATATCTACATTATATTTCAACTTAAATTAGATTTAAAAATGTAAAAAATTAGTACATGCTCAGCTCTGTTGTATCTGCAACAAGTGATCTATTCTGCACTTTTACAGTTCGTTTGGCACTTGATAAAACATTATAGTCACATTTGGTATCAACACTGAAAACTTGTTTGGCAAATTATGTCCAAAACTATTATCGGGATAATTTACCTTAAAAACCCTTTTTAGGAATCACTTTTAAGTTGTTTTCTGAATTTCTAACACACTCTTCATGCAAAACAATAAGACGATATGAAAAATATTGGGGTTTTTTTGAACTTTTCATTAATTTTTGTTTCCCAAAAACATGGAAAATGTAAGCAAAATCTAAAAACACTGAAAATGAAAACAATACCAAAAGGCCCTATATATTTAGTCAGATGGCACAACCACTAAGGTTAAGGTTTTTGATTCCTGATTGGGGTGGTTTTCTGACAGTTGCTCATCAATACTCTGGCACATTTTGTATGGGTTATTGATCATATACATTTCATGTTAATCACTGGTTTGAGGAATGTGAGTGTGGACTACGCATCAAATCAGATCACATAATTTTATGATGATTCTTTTATATATTGCCAACTGTGGTGGATGATATTGCTTGCGATGTGTAGAGAAGTATTGTTACCGTACCTTTTAATATGGGTGATATTTTCTGCTGACCTGTGGATGTTTGATAAAATCTCTCTTGTGGTGGACTGTAGCCTACATTTATGTTAGGCATATCATGTGGTGACACTGGGCTTCCTTTTATTTTCTTTAAATGGTTTAACGCATAAGTCTTCAATTACAGGAAGAAGAAGGCTGTCCACAAGACAACCACCACAGATGACAAAAGGCTTCAAAGCACTCTGAAGAGAATAGGGGTGAATGCCATACCAGCAATTGAGGAAGTCAACATATTTAAGGATGATGTAGTTATCCAATTCATAAATCCCAAAGGTAACACCAACCATGGTTGTAAATCCTTTTATTTTGTCTTTTCATTTCTTATTTTTCTAGGTAACTAATAGCTTTTGCTTTTCTTTGCTGTTTATTTCAGTTCAAGCTTCTATTGCAGCCAACACTTGGGTTGTTAGTGGTTCTCCTCAAACAAAGAGTATATTTTCCTCCCTTTCTAGTCGTTAAAATGAAATACTATTCTCTACATGAATATAATTACGATAGCTCTCCCGTCTCCAATAATTAGAATTTGGCAAACTTGGTGCACTAGTGTTAGTTTTTCTCTCTTTTTATCTCTCTCCTCTTTCCCTTGGGTTTGTTTGTTTGTTTGTTTGTGGATAAAAGCTTTGATTTCCAACCAAGGAAGTACTCTGCTTGGTAATAGTGAATTTTAGAGGACAAGCTGTAAATGTGGTGGTTTTCTATTGTATTTCTAGATTTCATATTTCTTAAATACTTTAATTTTTTATTTTTTTTACAACAAATTGGTGTTTACAAACTAACATAGAGCGTTTTATGCACAATGGCACAAAATAGGAGACTTATGCATAGTTACATAGTAAATGCATACTTCTTAGGTGCATATGACCAAGTAAACATGTTGGATGCTTATCTTAGGTCGAGTGCCTAACATGGGTACCTCACACATTTAGAAGGGTCCATGCAATATAGATTATAATAAAACATTTTCGAAAATAAGGTCTTCTGAACTTTGTTCCCAAGTAGTGCATCATAAAGCAGGAAAACATGATCCAGTGAAAACTACTTCTAACATTGCCTTGGTTGCAAAACTTGAGGGGCAAACTGAATTGATATAGCTGCGTGTTAATGCATTCCTTCCTTTCTTTCCTTTTCGTTTTTTAGCCTGCAGGGAGGGAAGGCGGTGTGGGAATTGGGGTTGGGGTTGCCTGGAAAAGTGATAAATAACTACTTGATTGGTTCAGTGGGCCTGCCTACACATATGTAGAAAACCCCAAGGATCCTCTAGAGTGTTTTTTTCCTAAAGTTTCCTAAAGTGGTGTATTGTGTGGTTGAGATTTAATGCTGAAAAATTGATGTGACTTGTCATTAAATCTCAACCACACAATGCACCACTCCAGGAAACTTTAGGGAAAAAAAACTCTAGAGGATCCTTGCTCGTAGAAAACAGCCTGTGATACGTATTGTCTGCATTTTTGTTAAGCATCTCACGAATGTTGGTACTCTGAAATGTAATTGCCCGAGCAAGAGTCTTGACTGCACTGGAAGCTTTAGATTATGTTTGAGTTACAAAGGGTTTAGGTTATCCCTCCATTTGAAGAATCAAAGCTTAAAGCCCCACCAATCTGAAGAGTCCACATCAAGTATCTGGGCCAGGAAAAGATAGAAATGTCCAGCACCTTAAGAAGGGGCTGCAAATTCTTTGAATTTGACATCCTTGGGATGAACTGAAAATTCAATATATTTGTTTCTCCTCTCTTTTGACCCTTCCACCTGGTTATGTTTGCTAGTAGAGGCATATATTATTGCTTGTCCTTGAGCTATTCAATTATCTCTTCTAGTTCTCAATTATTAGACTAACTGGATTTTAATTGAACCTTTATTTTTTTCCTTTTCCCCAGAGTTGCAAGACATTCTCCCTGGAATTATTAACCAATTGGGTATGTGCAGTTGTCTTTCTTATAATATCATTTTCTTTTGTATTAAATGGATCTGATTATTCTTAACACTGAAAAGATTCTCCTTATGTGTTTACTCACTGGATTTCCTCCTTTCAGGGCCCGATAACTTGGACAACTTGAGGAAGCTGGCAGAGCAGTTCCAGAAGCAGGCACCTGGTGCCGGTGCAACTGCTGCGCAAGAAGATGACGACGACCAGGTTCCGGACCTTGTGGCTGGTGAGACCTTTGAAGCAGCTGCAGAGGAGAGCCATACGTCTTAGGGATCTTTATGAATTTTGTGCAATTCCCTAATATTTTCATGTGATTTTTGAATCTGTTGTCTTTTTAGTTAAAAGTGTTCAATTTGATATTTCTTGTGACATACTATAAAGTTAGTTTGATGTTTTGATCGATAAAAACTTTTAGCTTGAAAAATTAGCAGGCATCGGCTGTCAATTCTGATTGTGAAACCCTAATCGATTGGCCCAATATCATGATCAAATCACAACATCCAAACCTGATTGTATTGCCTTGGAAGCAATGTTGAAATAAAATCGAAATTGATGTTATGATCCGTTACAACAAGCCGGCCGGATCAAAGATTCGATTGGTTTTAAGCCGCCATAACATCATTTTTTTCCCAGGTTGGCAGAAAAGAATAGCTGTCGTGCCCAACCCGGAAAATGTAATGTAGTTGTCTCATCTTCCAAACCTGATCACATGGTTGTCTCCGCGCTATGTTGAAATACAATTGAAATTGATGTTACAATTCTTCCAAACCTGATCGCGTGGTTGGCTCCACGAGAAGCCTGATAGCTTCCAGAGGTCTTTCTTTTAATGGGTTCATTGTTCTGTTGAATATGAACTACCTTTGGTTTAGTAGGTAAGAGTTTTGAATTCTTTGCTCAAGGTTTGTGTTTGAGTTTCCATAGTCTCTTGTTGGGATTAAACATATTCTTTAGCGCCTGGAGTATGTAGGTGGCTAAGGGGTGTTTTGGCAACATGGCTTTTGGCCACTTTTTTAGGTTAGTAGCAAAAGTTAAAAGTTGGTTTTTTTGTCTTTTTTTTCATTTGGGAAGTTGGTATTTAGCCAATGATAAAATTACAATTTTACCCCTCATGTGTTAAAAATGTGTTACATGAGTGAAATTGTAAATATTTTAAATAAATGGGAATAGTTTGGTCATTTTATTATGCTTTGACATCATAAACAAATATTAAAAAAAAAAGTCATAAGTAACTTTTTACTAACTTTTCAAGTCATTTGTCTAAAAAAGTTAAAAGTTTGGTTAAAAGTCAAAAAGTTATTTTTTACCATCTTCTCAAAATAAGCCTAAGTTTCAATCTCGACGTAGTTGCAGTGGGCCTAAGTTTTACTCTTGACGTAGGTGCGGTTGGGTTAAGTACTAAAAAGCAATACTTCTTAACGGATATGTTGGAGTAGTCTATCTGTATATCTATTTTTTTGAATAAAAAAAAAGAATATGAGCTACCTACTTAGACTATATTGAGAGTTTCTGAGTTTGGACTTCCATTCTTTTCACATTTCTCTCTCAAAAGTACACAGATTTCTTTCTACGTTAGGTCTTCAATGTGTGTGATGGGTATGAAAAGAATTTTACTTTTTCAAATTAAATTAGAGTAATGATATTTACTTAATTATTTTCTTAAATTAGTGCCCAAAATAATGTAGTTGTGAGATTGAAAAATCCACATAATTTTCTGGTTGGGAAAGGGCATTTGATCCATAATTATTGAATTCAGCAATGTTAAAGATATTAAAAGCACAAAAGTTCTTACATACCCAATTAATTGGTGATGTTTGCAGACAAAAGTTATTCAAGATTGATCTTTAAGAAGAAGTTATCAAACCATTTTAATTGGTGTCATTATGGTTCAAGCAATCATGAGGTCCACTGGTCGCAAAATCCATTGCAATAACGCTTTTTCTTTCTATATTTTCTCAGTAAAGTCAACTTTCTACAAACATGGGAGTGGCGCACACATCCGTCGGTACAATTTTTTCTTCCTTCTTAAATATATATTTAATTTTTAGATGATGAATTTAAATTTAAAATTCATATTTTAAAATATGAATGAACAAAATCGGTGTTCCATTTAACAAATTAAAAGTGGCTTTTCATCAAGCATTTTGGCCTTTTGAAAGTGATTTGAAAAGTTGGTAAAAAATTGACTTTTTTGATTTTTAGTTTAATATTTTTTAAAAGTGTCACATCACTCCAAAATGACCAAAATATCCTTACATTTTAATTTTTAAATTAATTAATTAAAATATTCTAAGGATAGTTTGGTAAATTTGGGTGTTACGTTTTTGGTCTTCCCAAATGGGCTTCTTGGCGTTTTTGCATGGCTGGCGTTTTTGTTGCAATGCTCAAAACGCTGGCTTTTTGTTAAGTTGCCAAAATGGCACATAGAGGAAGGGACGTCAAAAAAATAAAAAATAAAATAAAAATCAGGGCGTGGAGATGAGTGGGAGAGCCACAACAATCACACAAAGGCAACGAACCTTTAACATTGTTAGATACATTATATTTTTTTCACATGTTTAGATATATATATATATATATATATACTTTTTTAGTTCAATAGTAAGAGATGTCCAAATCAGTTTAGGGTGTTCGCGGTTCGGTCATGGTCTGAAAACCTTTATCCGCCATCCGTCCATCAAAATAGCGGATTGAAAAAAATCAATTCGCATTGATAGATACGGATTGAGCGGATTGGCGAATGGATGCGAATCAATTTAGTAGTTTAAACTTTTACAAATTTTGAACATGATATAACAACTTATCAATATTTTTTTTTGGATAACAATCCAACTCAACATAACCAAAAGATTATCAGGTAAATTGTCAAATACCAATAATAAATACATATAAGAAAACCATGTATTATCAAAATTATTTCATTACTTTTTTTATATTCAAAAAATTATTTAATTTGATTTTTTAAAAAGATGAAAAAAATTAAGCTTTATATTTTTCACACAAAAATACCAAATATTAACACTTGTCATTTGATAAAAGGATTTTCAAGTTGAAAACAAATTGAAAACACAACAGAATATTTAAATTCTCTCACAAAAAAACTCAAAAAAGTCAAAAAGCCAAAAAGCCCTTCCCAAACCAAGCTTTTAAGCCCAGGCTAAAATAGTCAAAAAAGCTAAAAAGCCAAAAAGCCAACCCACTTCCCAAACGGAGAGAGTTTCTGAGTTTGGACTTCCATTCTTTTCACATTTCTCTCTCAAAAGTACACAGATTTCTTTATACGTTATGTCTTCAATGTGTGTGATGGGTATGAAAAGAATTTTACTTTTTCAAATTAAATTAGAGTAATGATATTTACTTAATTATTTTCTTAAATTAGTGCCCAAAATAATGTAGTTGTGAGATTGAAAAATCCACATAATTTTCTGGTTGGGAAAGGGCATTTGATCAATAATTATTGAATTCAGCAATGTTAAAGATATTAAAAGCACAAAAGTTCTTACATACCCAATTAATTGGTGATGTTTGCAGACAAAAGTTATTCAAGATTGATCTTTAAGAAGAAGTTATCAAACCATTTTAATTGGTGTCATTATGGTTCAAGCAATCATGAGGTCCACTGGTCGCAAAATCCATTGCAATAACGCTTTTTCTTTCTATATTTTCTCAGTAAAGTCAACTTTCTACAAACATGGGGGTGGCGCACACATCCGTTGGTACAATTTTTTCTTCCTTCTTAAATATATATTTAATTTTTTTTTTAATTTTTAGATGATAAATTTAAATTTAAAATTCATATTTTAAAATATGAATGAACAAAATCAGTGTTCCATTTAAGAGCATCTCCAATGGTGGTAGACATTTTACCTATCTAAATATTACTATAAAGTATACATTTTATTTTGCCTGTCAACAATTTCATGTTTCTACCCCAACCATGCTCTTTATTTTAGCTACTCATCCAAATACTATTAACTTTATAGAATGCCACGTCAGCAACAAAGATGGAGGGAAATAATCTTAATGATTAAATACATTTTGCCTAGCCTTGAAAGCTAGCTACATGTAGCTAGTGAATGTGAGCTGAGCCAAAATGCCTAAGCATATGCCTAGTGCATTGGAGTTGAAAAAAGTGAGTCATATTAGGCATTTTGACTAACAAGCATCATATGCCTAGTGGGTTGGAGATGCTCTAACAAATTAAAAGTGGCTTTTTACCAAGCATTTTGACTTTTTTTAAAGTGATTTAGGAAGTTGGTAAAAAATTGACTTTTTTATTTTTTGGTTTAATATTTTTTAAAAATGCCACATCACTCTAAAATGACCAAAATATCCTTACTTTTTTATTTTTAAATTAATTAATTAAAATGTTCCAGAGGGTAATTTGGTAAATTTGGGTGCTGCGTTCTTGGGTCTTCCCAAATGGGATTTTCTGCGTTTTGTGTGTGTTTGGCGTTTTGAGAAAGCTCTCAAAAAGCTGCGTTTTGGGAAGGTTGCCAAAAGGGCACTATATATTTAAGTAGGATGGGTAGGCATTAGGGCGTTGTTAGGAAACTTTTTGTTATTTTTTTTATTGACCTTTTAGTATTGATCTATGTATTTTTAGATAACATAAAAAAAATTATGTTACTTAAAAAAATAATATAAATACAATAATATAATTTAGAGCAAACTTCAATTTATTTTCGATAGTTTGAGTCAAGTACGGTTTATTTATTGACATTTAAAAATAATCATATAACTCCTTGTGATTTCTAGACCAAAAACAGTATATAAATCAACTTTAATGCTCTCGTCTTCTTTCTCCCCTCTATTTTAAATTAAACCTGCAAACATATATACACACTGCATCCCAACCACCCTTACACCCAACACCTCCTCCGATCGTCTTCTATTTCAGACTCAAAACACATTTCCGTCCAAACTAAGCCTAGTTTAGAAAACGTTTTAGCTTAGTTTAGAAAATAGGGGCAGAAATATGGTGAAAGCGTGATTTGTAATAATGTTTTAGCTTATTTTGAGAATTCCGTCAAAACTAGGCCTAGTTTAAAAAATAAGTTGCTATTTTAACTTATTTTGAGAAAAGCCCCTAGAAACAATCTCATTGATGGCCCTATCTATTACGTATATGTTTATATATATTTTTAATCACCACCATTTGTTAAAGCCTGATATATAACAGGTATATATTTGTAATTATAAATGAAATTAAACAAGTAATTATGTTAAAAATTTATACATTAGATTATAAATTAGGGATATTTGAATTAATATGTAATTTAACTAGTTAATATGAGATTATGTTAAAAAATGTGTGAAAATAAAAATACAAATTATATATATGCATTTGGAGGTGTAGCCCAAGAATATACATATATATACAGATTGTATATATGTTACTCTTGATGGCAAATTTGCGTGGATCAGCAGTTTAGGTTGGGGAGAGTGGACGAGGTAGGTTTGACAAGGTAAAAGGACGAGGAAAGGGACGTTATGGGAAAGATAAGGGAGAGTGGATAAAGAGAGAAACAAAGAAAGAAAGAAGAAGAGAGAATAATGGTATTTTTTTTTTGTAAATTTGAAGGTGAATGAGGGATAAAAATTCACGTACTCTCTTTTTTTTAGACGTGTGGGTCTCACATTTGGGTGGCTCTATTTACACACTAGTTTTTCTCTCAAGGTAAATTATTAATTGATTTTTTTTATTACAATTTTAACCTTAAGTGAAATGACTATAAAGGACAAGTTATGATACACATCATTTGTGTATTTACCATAAATGACAAGAATGAATATAATATAAATCATCAATTTCAAACTTGTTCCTTATGTATCTTCTTTGTCAAGAATACAAAAACCCTAAAACCAAAACCAAAACCAAAACCAAAACCAAAAACTCTTCAACAAATAATCAAAAATATAGTATTATTGAAGATTTTAAATGGATTCAATGAAGGATGCATATGGCAACTTTGATTCGCAGCAATGGAGCAAGGAAGGGGTTATTTTTTTGTTGTTTTTGTTTTCGTTTTCGTCTACTTGCTGAGTGGTAAATAGTTGGTACAGTTCGGTTAACCAGAGGTGGATATTATATCATTGTTCGACTTATTACAACTGGACAATTTATATTTGTTCGACTTATTACAACTGGACAATTTGTATTTGTTCGTCTAACTACAATCGAACATTGAACAAAATGCATTTGTTCAACATACTACGATCGAACAAAATGCCTTTGTTCAACATACTACAGTTGAACTTTATTCGTATATTCGGTTAACAAAAATCGAGTAATTTTATTTAATTCGACTTTGTACTGCTAAACATTTATAAATTTTTTTATTTTTTTATTTTTTTTTCCAGAACGATGCATCCGTGAAATGCAGTAATGTTGGATCTGGGGGTTTTGTTGACTACACGAGTCAATTTATTACTAATGAGGTAGTCTCATGTCGAAAATTAGTATTTTTTTCTTTTTCTTTTCGGATGTTTAATGACTTTGTTGAATTTGACTTGTAGGTTTTCAAGAGCAAAGGAGAATTACTTGGTTGGGTACGGAATGTTGGAAGGAAAAATGGGTTTGTGATTGTCATCAAGACATCAGACTATGGTAGTGGTCATAGGACACCAAGGATCTTTCTTGCCTGTGAGAGAAGTGGTCAATACCGTGCTCATAAGAAATTAGAAGGAGATGATTCGAGCAAAAAAATTGTGAAGATAACGGGTACAAAGAAATGCGGGTGTCCCTTTGAGTTAAGGGCTCGTAAGTTGATGGCTGATGATGATTGGATGGTAGATGTAGCATGTGGAATGCATAACCATGCTCCTGCTAAACATTTTGAAGGACATTCATTTGCAGGGAGATTATCTAAGGAGGAAACATCATTATTAGTGGATATGTCCAAAAGCATGGTTAGACCGAAAGAGATTTTGGTTACATCGAAACGAAAGGATGCTTTGAATGTAACCACTATGAAAACCATTTACAATGTACGTCATAGGAATAATGTTATTGAGAAAGCTGGGAGATCACAAATGCAACATTTGTTGGGTGAGTTAGAAAAGCATAATTACATTGAGTGGCATAGGTGTGCCAACAACACGATGATTGTCACAGACTTGTTTTGGGCATATCCTGTCAGTTTAGATTTGTTCCGTTCATTTCCAAAGGTGTTGATCATGGACTGCACATATAAGACAAATTGATATCGTCTTCCTCTTCTTGAGATAGTTGGAGTGACATCCACTGATATGCCATTCTCCGTAGCCTTTGCGTATCTCCAATTTGAGCGGATTGATAACTACATTTGGGTGTTAACTACATTGTGTAGTCTCTTGGATGACATTGCTATTCCTGAGGTGATTGTCACGGACAGGGAGCTTGTCTTGATGAATGCTATTGACAGGGTATTTTCTACATCTCGACATTTATTATGCAGATGGCATATTAGTAGAAATGTACTGGCGAAATGCAAGAAAATGTTTAAGAGTAAGGAGGAATGTGACAAGTTTATCTCTTTATGGAATTTCTTAGTACTTTCCTCAACTGAGCTTGAATACATTGAACATCTTGCTAGGCTATTTGCGGATTTTGATACATATCCTGAGGCAGTGCAATATGTGTCACAAAGTTGGTTAATTTCATATAAGGATAAGTTTGTTGCTGTATGGACAGATAGCTATATGCACTTCGGGAATGTTACAACCAATAAGTAATATATATTTGTCTACCTTACACTATTACGCATTATGATTTTGATTATTTAAACTTGATTATGTTAATTGTTTCCATTGTACACAGGGCTAAAAGTGCACATGCAAAACTGAAAACGGAAACTTGGTTCTAACCAAGTAAATTTTGAGTGTTCTTGGACCAAGATCCATAGTTTGCTTGAGTTGTAGCATGTTGATATTAAGGCATCGTTTAAGAAGAGTTTAATCATTCTACAACACCAGTTCAAACCATCTCATTTTAGAGAGCTTCGAGACAATATCTCTATTACTGCATTAGATCATGTCTTAATGGAGAGTAAGCGAGCGAATGATGTTGGCATTGATGCTTCAGTATGTGGATGTGTTGTTTGACAAACACACGGGTTACCGTGTGCCATGAGATTGTGGATTACATCTAGCAGGGTCGTCCAATACCACTTGAGATTGCAGAGACAAAAACTACACAAAGACGCTAATTAAGCAAAAGTTTCCTTGACCATAACACTTAAATTCACACTAAAAACTAAGACCCAAAACAATCTCATATCAAACTCATAAACTTGACACCCAAATCTTAAAATCCCCAATCTAACATAAATAAAAAAAAGCATAACACAAATTAAGCAACTGATACAACATACACGTATACGCAATTATGTCAAAACTGATGCAACAAAGCCAATTGTATATGATGTGTTTTATCAGTGCCTGTTAGGGGCCACGCATCTTCACCTAACTTCTAACCAACATTTATACACAATGTTTATAGACATGACAAATCAAGCAGGAAAAAAAAAAAAATTGTTCGTCAGTATCTGTCCGAACATAATGTACATGTTCGGCAATCTACAACTGAACATGTTTAACAGTCAACACCCGTACAAAATTGTGTTGTCCGAATATCAACTGTCGAACGAATTTAGGCTCCGAACAACCAGTGTCTAACGATTCACTCATACGATTCACTCAAATACAAACTTCATGATAAGTGCATAAAACCCTAAAATAAATAATAACTCACCTAATAAATCTCCAATGTGAAGTTCCAACTGTGTTGAGCAACACCACCGACGACGTCTTGATGAGTGTTTTCAGCAATGGTGTTCACCGGTGTGAATAGAGAATGGAGGGAATATCGTGGGTGTGGGGTGTGGGGTGTGTGGCTGTGTGGGGGCAAAGATGAAACTTTGTGTATATATTGTTGTGGGTTGGTGTGTGAGTAAGGGTAAATATATAAATTTGTGATGTGTGATGAGAATAATATTTATTTTTGCAAATTATTTTTGATGTGTCTTTAGAAGTGGTTTGTCTTGAGAGAGAAAATAGTGTGTAAATAGAGCCTCCCCTTACATTTCGTTAACTTAGATAAAAATATTGACGGTACTCTTTGGTCAAAAAATTATAAAGAATTATGTGATTATTTTTAAATATTAAGAGATAAATTGTTTCTAACCTACATCACAAGAATAAAGTGATTTACCCTATAATTTAAAAACTTAAAACTCTATAAATATATTATGATGGTCGATAACTTAGCATCTAATAAAAGAAAAAAAAGGGAGAAAAAACTATGTTAATTCATAATGAAATATTTGATATATATACATAATTTTTAATTGTTTGATAAATTCAAAAACTGAATTTAAGACAAGTAATGTAATTTAAATGTTAAGAAAAAAAAAAAATAAGACAAAAAAAAGGTGGACTCTTTGGTCCTTTTTTTTTTTTTTTTTTCTTCAAAAAGAAAAAGAAAAAGAAGAGAAGAAGTGAAAATAAAGTTAAGAAAAACCAGAGAAAAAACCGGAATAATTGAATACAACAGCTATATGAACATTTTCGAAAGCACAGCTCAATGTAATCTTCGGATCTATCTCTGTCTCTCCATTTTCTTTGAACTTCGAAGAGAGTTTGTGTAATCGTTTATGGAACTCGTAATGCAAATACAGCGTTGTTTGAATTTCAACTAAAAGCACTGAAGATTGATGGTTCACACTCTCAACAGATTGAATTGGGGACAACTTTGAAGTAGAGCGATTTCAATGGCTGTTCCTGTTGAAGAAGCTATTGCAGCTTTATCTACTTTCTCGTTGGAGGTAAATTCAAGATCTATTGACAATTAACACAGGACCTCATATATCTTTGTAATTCTCTTTACAGGATCAACCCATTGTGGTTTATAGGATTCAAATTTTGGGTTTTTTTGTTTTTGTTTTCTCTTCTTTAAATGATATTCATATGAGTAATGTCTTAATAGTAGTGTGCCTTCACAATAGATTTACATTTATGTTCATACATAATCATGTTATGTGCGTTTGTAATCTGCTGTACTGGGTCAATTCATTGTGGTTTTACATGGGTGTTCAAATTGGGTTTTTCAAGAGAGAATGAAAAGGAGTGATAAAAGAATGCAATTGGAGAGATTTGAACCCAAGACCTCCCCCTACCTTAGCTATGGTACCAAGTTAGATTTATAGAAGAAGAAGAAACAAAATTAAAGGAGAAAAGAGAAGAGAACAACATTGTGCTGGCAAAAGAGTAGAGAGAATTAATTGGGGTTCTCTTCTCTCTCAATAACTCTTGATTATACTAAATGAGTCCAAAGTGCGAAAAAGCCCATAGGTGTTAATACCGTGTAACACAGTGTCAACTACGCTAAAATTTCAGTCTTGAACCGAAGACCTAAGAAAATTGAGCACTAGTTTCATTGCCCCTTTGTTCACTACTACTCTTTCAAAGTGAGTGATAAATATGTACTTGCCTTTTCTAACTCAGAAAGTACACATGTCAATTTTTTTGTCTTGTTGCTCAACCAACCTAAATTTTTAGAATTATAAGTCAAAAGGTAGAGCATTCTTTTGCATATATAGTGCTTAATTATGAGAATGCCAGTGGAATTTATTTTTGTAACATTAAGAAGGATTTGGTTTCTGTCTATTAAGTTTTCTTTGTATTTTGAAGCATTGTATGCTTAAATTTATATTTTTTGCTTAAAAATTTGTAGGATGAACAACCTGAAGTTCAAGGTCCAGGAGTTTGGGTGTCAACTGAAAGAGGTTCAACGAATAGTCCAATTGGTATGCATTTGTTCATGTATATTGGGATCAATTTTGATTGTGAGACACATTTATTCATCAATCTTGCAGGCTCTGCACTTCACTAATTGTATGTATATGTAACTTTATTATGTTTATTTTTTATTGAGCATCCTCTGCCTGTTCATGATAACTGAACTATTTGCTGAAAATATGAACAGAAATTCATTTGAACGTTGAGCTACTTATGACGGTCTTATAATATTCTTTTGTTTTAATTTTTGTTTGTTTGTTTATTTTCTTTCTTTTTGGAAGCGTGTTTCTGGAATATAAAAATGTTTGGGGTAGTTGCGATGTTAGTCATTGATACTGATGGCAATCACTCAAAGGGTAAGGGAAATGTGGAGATTCTTTGAGCAATATGCACTTTTGGGATTGGTTTCCCCATCCTATCGTTATTCATCTCCAACCTGTACAGTCCAATATGAATAATGTAGTCATACAATTTAAAATTTTTTATGGTAAAAAAGTTTTCTTTTTTCTTCTTGATTCCAATGCAATCATATAACAAGATCTAATTATATAACAGAATAGAATCTTTGCAACCATTTGAATGACACGTGTACTTCTAGTCAACTAAATAAATTCAAGCTGTGGTTATGAGGTTGAAGGTTGATATTGGTCCTCTCTCCCTCTCTCAAAACATATTTGATAATATTAGGTATGCCTTTCTTTTGTAGAATATACTGATGTTTCCGCATACCGCCTATCTTTATCAGAAGATACAAAGGCTCTAAATCAGCTGGTATGAGATTCTCCCTTTTATATCTTGTGCTCTCCCCTACTCTAAAATATGAGACCATTTCCTTGAGTAGCTATTTCTCCTCAATTACAGACATTATATATTATATAAATTGGGTTTTGATTTTCTTTTTTTGAATATATGAAAACATTTATTGGTTTTTCCTAAAATTTATTACATTTGATTTTATTTACTTGCTTTATAATTTAGTTATTTATTTTAATGGTTTAACACTGGAACCCTGTGCAGAACACCCTTATTCAAGAGGGGAAGGATATGACATCAGTGCTCTATACATACCGAAGTTGTGTCAAAGCACTTCCTCAGGTTAATTCAGCTTTAGCTATGCCAATCTCCAATTTTAGGGCATTATTTTGTCATTTGGTTTATTTTTTTTCAAGTTTCATCTTGTGGTGCAACCTCTTTGAGGTTATGGGTTCAAGTCTCGGGGCAACCACTTTGTGCACTATGCCAATGGTTAGGTGTGTACCCAATCTTTCTCCTCCCAAAAACAAATTAATGTGTACTAATTGGGCGTTGTTTTGTTTTCATCTTGTGGTGCAATGCTTAAGTTGTTGATATTATTCTCTTTAAATAGGTATATAGCTTTACACATGTAAACGGTCCACCATCTCTTGCACTTTTGTTGCATGCTACACTAGTTATTGAGCATCTTCCTGTTATCAATCATCAAGAGTGGGGTTTGGTTGTTGACAAATTAAAAAACTAAAATGTCCATTTCTGATTGCTTTTCCCACAACTCAGAAATCAACTCCTGGTAAAGAAGTCCTGGTTATTTCTTCGTTTGCCCTGTTTTGGAACAATGCATTTTTCTTTGTTTATAAAGAAAGAGGGTGGAAGAAAGAACTCTTAATTCTTTCTAAACAAATTCATTGAAAATCTCAGATTCTTTGGTTTTACTATTTCTTCTTTTTTCTTTTGATTATTTTCTCTCAGAATTTAGTTTTAATCTCAATCAGCTGGTATGTTATCTAGTTTTTGAATCTCTAAGCCTGCATATCCATAATCTAGCCCTAAGTTGAACCCTCTCTCTAAGCTATAAGTGTTCTCCCTAATGCACAATTACACGAAAAAAGTTACTGTCCAGAAATTCCAGCAGCTCGACTCTTAAAATTCCAGTAACCTTATATAAAACCTAAACCGACAACCTTTTTTTAGTTGGCAACATCTTGTCTGGACTGATTCCTGCTATACAAAATTTTCTTATTCCATGTTCTCATGTTTGATGGCATGGACCGATTGCCTTAATGTAGTTTGTAGTGGCAAACGCAATGTTTGTGCTTGGACTTGAAGGTCTTTAGGACTTAACTGACGGTAGATTTGCCAAGGCTTGCTCCCTGCGGCATCATCAATTTTGCTGCTTTAATGTCCTTGCTCCTGATATTTGCTTGGAATATGAGACTTGTAAACATGATGCTCTTGCACTCTGACAAGAAGGAATATTGGAAGGTGTACTTTCACAAACAATGTTAAACGAATGATTTAAGCATTACTGCAGGTTTGGATTTTCCCACATCAACGTGAAATATCATACTGTGTGCGCACTTTGTCGGGATTAGTTATTTCTGCTTGTAAATTGAGTCAAATCTACTCCCATTTGTTTGGTGAATTGATACTATAAGTGGATGTGGTGTGTGAAAAACTTTGTGATATTCTTTCTTTTATTTTTGTTTTGTTTTGTGGTTGTAGGCTTTTGATTAAGCTTTTTGAAAATCATATATATGTGGATGGTTACTAATGTTGCAAATTACATGAACTTAATTTATGAGATAAGGAAAATTTACTGCCCCTAAGTTTTTTTTTTTTACGTTCTCTTTTGTTATGTAAATTTGTGAATATAAAGAGTATACATAATGTGGCAGCTTCCAGATTCCATGAAGCAAAGCCAGGCTGACTTATATCTAGAAACTTATCGAGTTCTAGACCTGGAAATGAGTCGACTGCGTGACATTCAGCGTTGGCAAGTATCAGCTGCATCTAAAGTACAAGCTCTTATTTCTTTATTTCCATTATCTGTTGTCAATGTTCAAACCTGTCTTTAAGTTCTCACCAGGACATACTACTCTAATGCAGCTAGCAGCTGATATGCAACGCTTTTCTAGGCCTGAGCGACGTATCAATGGCCCTACTGTAACTCATCTCTGGTGCGTTGCTACTTTCTTTATTTGACATAGTTTGTTATAAGGTAACTATGTCTACAATTTGAGCAAAAAAAGTTCACTGACTATTGAACTTGACCAAAATATGAATCACTGATCTGACATACAGAAATCTGCCATGTTTGCTCACTCAACTGGCCAAAATAAAAATAACCAATCTACATAAATAGCTTTAAACATAGATGAAAAAAGGAATAAAAGAAACAATACAACTTAAAGAAAATTCTGAACCTCAGAAAAACTCTTTAAGTGTTTGTATGCTGCTAGGTTTCCCTATTTTTATTAGGAGTAGGATTTCAAGATATGAAAAGTTGGTATTTCAATTACCATGAACATTTTGAACCTCAGGAAGCTCTATGAAAGGGTGGAGTACTAGTATAGTCAGGGTGTTATCAGTGAGCTGTATGTGAATCTTTTGGTCCATGGGACTTTTGCTGCATGGTTATGAAAATTAGGGGTGCAACTTGGGCGGGCCCAACCCGAGCAACCCGAACCCAGCCCGAATTTTTTTAGGGCTTGGACAAGATATTTTCAAATTCAGCACGGGCTTGGGCAAAAATTCAGAAGTCCGAATTAAATTTGGACGGGCTTGGGCAAAGAAGTCAAACAATCCGAGCAACCCGAAACCCGAATTATACATATATAGATATATAAAATATAAAATATATATATAAATTATTAACCATTACATGATATTAAAGTAATTTAGATTATTAAATCATATTGAATATATATTATATATACAAATAACATAAAATCGTATTTTTTTTAATTTTCATTTATAAATTGTAAAGACTACTATAGCGGTATCCCTCTTACATTATATAAATTATTTGTTTTGATGGTATTAATGATTTTCTATTAAAAAAAAATGTAAATAGAATCAAATTTTAATAATTTAATAATGCAGCTGCACACAAAAAAAAAAAAAAAAATTGAAATTCATTTATAATTTGGGCAATTCAGGTTTAACTCAGGTTGGGCTTGGGCATGCAATCTCGGGTTACAATTCGGGTTTGGGCGGGCCTGGGCAGGTCTCAGTACAACTTGGGCTAGGCTTGGACAGCCTCCCAACCCGCCCGAACCTGCTTGAGTTGCACCCCTAATGAAAATGCACCCAGTAATCTCTCTTTTATTTTTATTTTTTTATCAGCAACAAAAAAATTCACCCACTATTTTGTCATGCAATAGACCAATTTTTAACCTTCTTGCTTTAATGGGAAACATGAAGTAAATCTTCTCCCACAAGATCCCCCTACCAAAATCTCATGAATTGCCCAAAATTTCCTTCTGTTTTCTAGTACAATTATCATTCAACTCATTAATGTATCAAAGGCTTGTCATGTCACATGCTATGGCAGGTGCAATGCTGGCATATTGCCCCTGAACTGTTTTTAAACATTTTATTTTGCCCTGATAGACCGTATGTGTGATGTTTTGTTCAAACTATTGGGCATTTACATCAGGATGACATCATCCTAATTATAATTGCATCCTTATTTCTTAATCAAGGATTGACAATTGCTTTTGTAGAGTGATATGATATCCCTTCACTCGTTTTCCAAATTTTGAGTTGGCTTGTGTTAGAATAGGAATTATATTAGAATAGGAATTAAGGTAGAATAGGAAATAAGCAATTGTGTGATCGTGTTTCCTTGTACTATACTCAGTATTATCAATATAAAAGGGAATGGAGTTTAACTCATTCCCTAACCTTTTGTCTTCTCTAAACTTTTATGGTATCAAAGCCACAACCCTAGCCCATCCCTCCTTACCTCTATTGGCAATCCTGTCTTGAGTCCAGGAGACCCGACAGCCACTGTAGACCCTTAGATAGCCACCGTCGACCCTCTGACAACCCAAACTCCACCTTCACCAGCCTTGCCCAGACCTTCGACAGTTCACCTGGGCTTCTCGACAGCCTATTAGGCTTAGTTGGCAGCTTTGAGTCCCTAAGGGCCCCTTGGTAGTCCCTCTGACTATCTAGGGGCCTGTCGGCAATCCACTTGGCCTTCGTGGTCCTTGTCGACAGCGTCTTTGGTATACGTGACTCGGTCGGCATCTTTGGGTCTTCTTCTGCCTTCGTCTTCGTCTGTCTTGGTTTGATCGTCTGTCTGGGTGGGGTAAGTCAACACCCTTTCCTTCTCTTTTAATTCTTTAAAAAAAAAAAAAAAAATTGATTTCTTAAATTCTTTATGTTTTTCTAGTTCTTCTTATCCTGGTTCCTCCGCTCTTATCTTTCGGGTTTGTGATTGGCTTTGTGATTGAGGACTAGTGAGTGGAGTCTCCATGGCAGATTTGACTAGTGAGTCTACTACATCTCTCTCAGCCATCTTAGGACGTGAGTTCGGTTATCGCTTCTCCTATGACTAATAACCTCAACCCTGGCCTTAAAATCACCACCTCTCTATTTAATGGTCAGAATTTCCTCGCGTGGTTGTAGAGTCTGACTATTTTTCTGAAGAACAGAGGGAAGATGGGATATGTGGATGGGAGGGTTCAGGTACCCAGTATTACTAACCCTCATTATAACCAGTGGGAGATCACCAATTCTCTAATTATGGGTTGGCTAATCCATTCTATGGTTCTAGAGATTTGAGAGGGCTACTTGTCTATGGACACTGCCAAGGATATTAGGGAGGCCGTAGCTACTAGGGGTGCAACTCGGGCGGGTTCGGTCGGGTTGGGGGTCTGTCCAAGCCCGACCCGAATTGTATTTGGCACTGCCCAAGCCCGCCCAAGCCCGACCATGAACCTGAACATTGTTGCCCAAGCCCGGCCCAAGCTTTGTATTTTGAACTCGGGTTGCCCGAATTGCCCGAATTGCCCGAGTTCAGAACACCAATTCTCTAATTATGGGTTGGCTAATCCATTTTATGGTTCTAGAGATTTGAGAGGGCTACTTGTCTGTGGACACTGCCAAGGATATTTGGGAGGCCGTAGCTACTACTTATTCCAGGAAAGGGAACTTCTCACAAGCTTTCGAGTTATATCACTCCATTGAGAGGTCGGTGCAAGGTGAGATGACTATCCTCTAGTATTTTACCTTCCTTAGCAATGGATGGAAGCGCTTTGATCAACTTTAGGATTACAAGCCTATATATCCCATTGATTCTACTGGTTGCCGGACATTTGTAGCATAAGAGTGGGTCTTCAAGTTCTTGCATGGCCTGAATATAAAGTATGATCCTGTTTGGAGCCGAGTCCTTGGCATGGATGTGCCTCCCTCTCTCCGGGACGCCTTTGCTTTTGTGCAAAATGAAGAAAGTCGCCGCTCTGCTATGCTTCCTCCTGTCACTAGTGATCGCTCTGCCTTAGTTTCTGCCCCTCCTTAAGATGGTGTGCCTCGTGGTTCTCGTCCCTCCTCTGAGAAGGTTCAACTTTACTGTAACTACTGCCGTAGATCTTGCCACACCAGAGAAACTTGTTGGAAGCTGCATGGCACCCCTTCTGGTGGCCGAGAAGACCGTCCTGGTACTCGCGGGGGTTGGTTTGGTCAGTCGAGAGGCCAAGGGGCCAATGCACGGACACATCTTTCCGACCCGGTTAAGCCACCACCTTCATCTCCAATTGTCTCACCGGCTGCTGATGTTTCGAGGTTATTTGCCTCAGATTTTGAGATTGCTCCTTGCCACTTGCTAGACCATCGAGCCTCTCATTCTGCTACAGGTGCACCCTCTTCTTCCTTTGCCAATTCAAATAACGTGGCTTCATTCCCATGTGCATTGCTATCTCATACATGTACCATGGATTATTGATTCTGGTGCTTCGGACCATATGCCTGGCTCTAATTTATTTTCAGAGTATAACCCTATCTCAGGCCAGGAAAAAGTGCGTATTGCTGATGGTACCATTTCGTCTTTGTCAGGGAAATGTTTAATTCATGCCACCTCTTCCCTTCCTTTGTCTTCTGTCCTCCATGTTCCCAATTTCAGTGTTAATCTTTTATCTTTGAGTCGTATTACCCATGACTTAAATTGTAGCGTGACATTTTTTCCTGATCATTGTCTTTTTCAGAACTTTATCACGAGGAAGAGGATTGGCAGTGGTAGAGAGGAACATGGGCTCTACATTCTGGATCAGACAGACAAGCTGGCTCATTCATCTATTCAGTTACCATCCACCAAGGAAGACATTTGGCTGTGACACCGTCGCTTAGGACACCCCTCCTTTTTATTACTTAAGCATTTATTTCCTTTTATTTTTGAGAAAAATAATGTGTTCGATTTTCAATGTGAGTCTTGTCAACTTGGAAAACAACACAGGGTCTCTTTTGCTCCTTCACTTAATAAAAGTTCAGTTCCTTTTTCTTTGATTCATTAGTCGTATTACCCGTGACTTAAATTGTAGCGTGACATTTTTTCCTGATCATTGTCTTTTCAGAACTTTATCACGAGGAAGAGGATTGGCAGTGGTAGAGAGGAACATAGGCTCTACATTTTGGATCAGACAGACAAGCTGGCTCATTCATCTATTCAGTTACCATCCACCAAGGAAGACATTTGGCTGTGACACCGTCACTTAGGACACCCCTCCTTTTTATTACTTAAGCATTTATTTCCTTTTATTTTTGAGAAAAATAATGTGTTCGATTTTCAATGTGAGTCTTGTCAACTTGGAAAACAACACAGGGTCTCTTTTGCTCCTTCACTTAATAAAAGTTCAGTTCCTTTTTCTTTGATTCATTCTGATGTATGGGGTCCCTTCCGTTTTGTGTCTTTAACTGGTCACAAATGTTTTGTTACCTCCATAGATGATTGTTCTAGGGCTACTTGGGTCTATTTGATGAAAGATAAAAGTGAGGTATTTTCTCTGTTTCAAAACTCATAAAATGATTTGTACTCAGTTTGGGGCGGTAGTACAAATTCTACGTTCTGATAATTTTGAAAGGGGAGGGGGATATACGGACTCTGGTCTTGCCACTTACTTTGCCACTCGTGGCATTATTCACTAGACTTCCTGCACTAATACCCTTCAGCAAAATGGTATTGCCAAATGCAAAAATCGCCATCTCCTTGATGTCGCCCATTGTCTATCCTTTGAGATGCGGGTTCCTCGATCCTATTAGGGGGAAGCGGTTCTCACTGCTGCTTATTTGATTAATCGTCTTCTTATCCAAGTCCTACAAAAACAAATACCTCTTCAAGTTTTGTTCGGGTCTACCTCTTTCAGGTTCTCCATTTCTCCTAAGACTTTTGGCTGTGTTTGCTTTGTCCATAATCATTCACCCACTTGTAGTATATTAGATCCTAGGTCCCCTTAAGTGTGTTTTTCTGGGTTATTCTGCCACAAAAAAGGGTTATAAGTGTTATCATCCTCCCACTCGCAAATGGTTTGTCTCCATGAATGTTACTTTCTTTAAGTCTCAGCCTTACTTTCCGACCTCTCCGGTCTCACAGTCATCCCTTCAGGGGGAGCGTTGGTGTAAAGAGATTTTTGTTCCACTTCTGCCCGTGGTTGAACAAATAAAGGATGATGAGCCAGCAGCTATTGAGGAAAAGGAAGCAGGCAAAGTTTATATTCAGGACAAGGACAGACAACGAGTCACCTGGATGCATGAGACTATTTTCCTTCCTCTACTGCTAACAACTTCTTCTCCGGATGAGTGTCCAGAGTCAACCCCTTCTCCTGAGAGTCCAAGTATTTCTGATTCTAATGCTCCTATTCCTGATTTTTCAGATCTTGATGTTTCCATTGCTAATAGGAAGGGGATTAGGTCATGTACTCAGCATCTTATTACTAATCATGTCTCTTATTCTAATCTGTCTTCGTCATATAAAGTTTTTCTGTCTAAAGTGTCTTCTGTGAGTCTACTTACCAATTTTTAGGATGTTCTCTCTATTCCTGAATGGAAACATGCCATGATGGAAGAGATGAGAGCTCTCAGCAAGAGTGGCACTTGGGAGTTAGTGGAGTTAACTAGAGGAAAAAATTCAGTTGGGTATAAGTGGGTGTACACGGTAAAACACAAAGCAGATGGGTCCATAGAATGGTACAAAGCAAGACTGGTTGCTAAGGGCTTCACTTAGACTTATGGCGTGAATTATTAGGAGGAAAAAATTCAGTTGGGTGTAAGTGGGTGTACACGGTAAAACACAAAGCAGATGGGTCCATAGAACGGTACAAAGCAAGACTGGTTACTAAGAGCTTCACTCAGACTTATGGAGTGGATTACTAGGAGACATTCGCACCGGTTGCTAAGATGAATTCTGTGAGAATCTTACTCTCTCTTGCTGCAAATTTAGATTGGCCGCCACTTCATCAGTTTGATGTGAAGAATGCCTTCCTTCATGGAGATCTAGTAGAAGAGGTCTATATGGATATTCCTTCTGGTTTTGCAGATGCTAAGTCCAACGGAAAAGTATGCAGTCTCCAAAAGTCAATTTATGGGCTAAAGCAGTCTCCTAAGGCTTGGTTCGAAAGGTTTGCTTAAGCTATGCTAAAATATGGGTTCAAGCAAAGTCAAGCTGATCACACCTTGTTTGCGAAACACTCCTCACATGGTAAGACCACAACTCTTATTGTCTATGTTGATGATATTGTTTTGACAAGAGATGATGTTGAGGAGATTCTCTGTTTAAAAGAATACTTAGCCAAGGAGATTAAAATCAAAGACTTAGGCTATTTGAAGTATTTTTTGAGCATTGAAGTAGCTTGGTCCAAGGATGGCATCTTCATATGCCAGAGGAAGTATGTACTTGACTTGCTAAAGGAAATTAGAATACTTGGAGGTAGACCATGTGATACACCTCTAGAACCGGGCCAGAAACTGAGTGAAGATCAAGAGGAGATCCTGTGGACAGGGGGAGATACCAGAAACTAGTGGGAAAGCTCATATATTTATCCCACTCACGTCCAGACATTGCCATTGCCGTGAGTATAGTGAGTCAGTTTATGCATGCTCCGAGAACTTCCCACTTAGAGGCTGTTATGAGAATCCTGAGATACCTGAAATCTTCTCCTGGAAAGGGTCTCTATTTCTCAAAATATGGCCCACTTAGTGTGGAGGCATTTACTGATACAGATTGGGCTGGATCCGTCACTAACAGACGATCAACTTTCGGATATTGCACATTTCTTGTTGGCAACCTAGTCACATGGCGAAGTAAGAAATAGAATGGGTTGCTAGATCTAGTGCTGAGGCAGAATTCAGGGCTATGGCTTAGGGTGCCTGTGAGTTACAATGGATTAAACTATTGTTGGGAGACTTGGGAATCCATCTGAATGACTCCATGCGACTATGCTGTGACAACAAGGCCGCAATCAACATAACTCATAATTCAGTTCAACATGATAGAACTAAGCATGTGGAGATTGTTAGGCACTTCATCAAGGAAAAACTCACTAGTGGTATCATATGTATTCCATTTGTGAAGACTGGAGACCAACTAGCCGATGTTCTCACCAAGGGACTAGGGAGCAAACCATTTCATGGCATTCTCAGCAACCTGAGCATGAGAGATATCTTCGCACCAGCTTGAGGGTGAGTGTTAGAATAGGAATTAAGGTAGAATAGGAAATAAGTGATTGTGTGATTGTGTTTCCCTATATTATACTCCGTATTATCAATTATAAAAGGGAATGGAGTCTAACTCATTCCCTAACCTTTTGTCTTCTTTAAACTTTCAGCTTGAACATATTAAATTTTGTACATCTTCCAGGAGCATCTCATGCAGTTCTAAGCATTATATAAGGAACCTGTTCTCTTCAATGGTACCAAATTACCAATGTTTGCATGTTAAATTGAATTTTCCTTTTAAAAAGGTGCATTTGTGGAAAAAAATTCAGTCTATAAAAGAAATGCAGTTAGCGATTGCTTGTTCACTCTTTAAATCTCACATTCTCATTAGTTTCATGTTGTATAATACTAATAACAAATCATCTTTTTACATGCATAACAAATTTAGTCTTATCATGTGCTATTAATTTAACTCATTTTCCATAATTCACAATATCCTTTGTCATGCTTTCTGATGGTGCTAATATAGCCTTACACTATATTGTTACTTTTCTGCAGGTCCATGTTGAAGTTACTTGATGTTTTGGTGCAACTTGATCATCTTAAAAATGCAAAAGCAAGCATACCTAATGATTTCTCTTGGTATAAGAGGTATATCTATTATTTCTCAGTGCTTTACAACTTGTTGCACAAAGTTGTTGTACTTAATCTTCTTTTATTCTTTTTTTAAGAGGGGGGAGGGGGTTATTGTCAGGATAACATGGAGTTGGGCTGTTCTTGCAGCATCTGCAGACATTGTAGACATTTGATGTAGAACTCGTAGCAAATTTATGAACATGAATCATGAAAATATGCAACCCTGTCTTGTGCACGAAAGATTTACTTAGATTACAGCTGGGCTTGTTTAGTGTGAGCTGTCCCATGTCTGTAAATAGGTGTTTAGGCTTCTAATAATCAGTTTTTGATCATTTGAGATTGTAATTTTCAGAGCTTGAGCTCTTCTACCCTATATTTGGGATTTTCTTTTTCTAATACATCCGATTTCTAGATTGAATGCATCATACTACCCAACGTATCAACGTAGATGTTTGAAATAGTTTGGATGAGGCTTGATCGAGTTTACTTCAAATTTCTTATTGTACTTCCTATCAGTTTTACCCAAGTTCTTAGAATATTTTTCTTGCAAGTATTCCATTTCACTGTTTCTGCTGCATCTGTACATGTTAGTACTACTTTGGCATATCCTTTTGTGCATGATCTGCTCTTCTTATTGCTTTTGCTGCTGTATGATATTTCCAGTGAAACTTGTTTATCTTGCCCCAGTCTTAGCAGCTTCCTCTACAAACAAGAAAATTAACTATTTTCATTAAGTTCAACCTTTATTTTTCTATTGTTTCTCAATTTACCAGGACCTTCACTCAAGTCAGTATTCAGTGGCAAGACACCGATTCAATGAGGGAAGAGTTAGATGATTTACAGGTGTGTCTCTTTTATTTCCTTCTCCCTAAAACAGTAGCAAACAATGCACATATTGTTTAATTGTTCCTGTAATTTGTTGAAAGACTATTTCTATTGTAGGAGGTTGATTAAATATGTTCATTGATTTACCTTACATACTGGTTATTTTTGCAGATTTTCTTGAGCACAAGGTGGGCAATTTTGTTGAACTTGCATGTTGAGATGTTCCGTGTAAACAAGTATCCCTCATATATACAACTTTAATTATCTGTCGCATTCACTTCTATTCGACAACAGGAGAAAACAAAAAATTTTACTCATCAGAAAAGAGTAAAAAGTATTCTGCTTGTGTTGAATTTTTTATTTTTAAAATTTTTGGTGGGGTGAAGGGGGAATAGATTTATCTTCCTTTCATTGCTAATTACACCTGTATAAATGACATCACATTTGGTTATCCCTTCCAAGATCCTTGACTTGAAACAGTGTAGAAGACATTCTTCAGGTCCTCATAGTTTTCGCTGTTGAGTCTCTGGAGTTGGATTTTGCACTTCTGTTTCCAGAACGGCATATTCTTCTTCGTGTTTTGCCCGTTCTTGTTGTCTTGGCAACATCATCTGAGAAAGATAGTGAATCACTATATAAGAGGGTGAAAATTAACAGACTGATCAATATATTCAAGGTATATAACAACATACTATTTACTCAAAACTTGAGTTTGACAAGTTAATAGATCGTGGACTATTTCTCAATAATAATTGTTATTTTCTTGCAGAATGATCCGGTCATACCTGCATTCCCAGATCTTCATCTTTCTCCAGCTGCAATCTTGAAAGAGTTGTCGATGTACTTCCCAAAATTCTCTGCCCAAGCTCGTCTCCTCACTCTTCCATCACCGCATGAACTCCCACCCCGTGAAGCTCAAGAATATCCTCTAAACATTTGTCATTTTTAACTGTTTATTTTTTATTTTTAGCTTTTGATGTTGATTCTCATGCTGTGTTCACTCTTTTCTCTTGCAAACTTTTTGCTGCTTCATGCCATTTGTTACTTGGAGGGCCTCTCTAATTCTAGTTAGTCATTATTGTTGCCTTGGTTATGTATGAGTGCAATATCTGCTTCATTGCATCAGATAGAATTGTCACACCAAAGGGGGCTTCTAATTCTAGTTTGTGATTATTGTTGAGAATATATGAGTGCAATAACTGTTTCCGAGCATCAGATAGATTTGTTACACTGTATCCGGCCCTTTATCAATTTCTTTAAATGTTATGTGAGGTGATGAAAAGAAAAGAAACGAAAAAAATATAGTGAGCTACGTGGCAGGCTTGAATAAGTGGAAACAATTATTCATAGCTGTTCTAGACAAGTTGTCAAACTTGAACAAATTCTTCTCATGAGACTAATGAAAAATAAATAAAATAAAAAATTCTCCATAGGAGTCGGAATATTGTGTGGATTTCTGTGTGGTAAGCGTTTCAACACTTCTTCTAAGTAATAGAAATTAAGCTTCTCTTAAGGAAGCTGAATGAATTTTGGAGAGGAAAATTTATATATGGTTTATAAGGAGAGGAGAATGTTACACATTCAAGTTAATGTTTTTATGACCACTTTCAGATTATGAGGAGATCATCTTTTCTTTTTCTATTTTATTTTTTACTTATATTTTTTTATGGTTAAAAGATAGCTGCCTGTGCACAAGGACAAATTGTTTACCTTCTTGCTTCTTACATGTATAAGCCTTATCTTGTGGTTTCTATATGTGATAAAGTTTAGTTTTGTCTGTTGGGGTGTTTCTGATGTTTTGTGAAGAATCTTTAGCTGCTAGATAATTTTTGTAAGCCCTATCTGGTGGTTGCTATATCACTTCTAGGTTTTTTTTTTTTTTCCTTCTGTTGCAATGCTTCTGAGGTTTGTGTAGAATCTTTAGCTGTTACATATTTTTAGTGAATAACTTAACCTAAAATTCACTTATCAGCGACATTATCTGATCATCAATCACATTGGAGCAATTCGTGCTGAACATGATGACTTCACGATTCGTTTGGCTTCAGCTATGAACCAGGTGCTCCTTCCAGTTGCATCTCTCTCTCTCTCTCTCTCTCCATGTGTGTGTGTCCTTCTCTGATACCATAGATACATATATTTATGTATTATGGACTAAGAAGCATGGACACGACACGGATACGACACGGTCACGCCGACACGTCAATTTTTTAACATGCATAAAATATATAATTCTATATATTTATTATATGTTATATATGTGAATATATCATTCAAAGTTAATGAAAAATACAATATGACACTAATTCCTATAAATTTATATGGTTTTTATTTTATTATTGTATCTTTAGTTGTTTTGTTCAAACTTATAATTAGTTTTACCTGTGTCTAATTGATAGACGTGTGTTTAAGTGATAAACACGCGTGTCTTCCAAGTGTCCAAAGAGTGTCCGGGTCTTCAAAAAAAATTTAAAAACCAGGCACGTTTTGAAGAGTGTCGGACACGTGTTGGGGAAGTGTCCGAAGAGTGTCGGTGTCCGACACAGACACGACATGACACGGATACGCCACTTTCTTAGAAGTGTCCGTGCTTCTTGGATTATGGAAGTGTATTTTCTATCCTTTTCATTATAAAAAAGGTATTGATTAAATGGCATCATTGAATAGCAGCCGATGTTACCTATTATTCTAAAGTACACATTGCCTGAAAAATCCAGAAAAAAACTGAAAGGGACAGAAAAGAAAAAAGATGCATTTGTAACATAAAAATTAAAGAAGTTTATTATTTTCATGTATATCTGTATTAATATATTTTTATTTGTTAGCATCATGTCCTGATTTTTTTGAAAATTTCTGTGTTGATGTGTCCATATTGTGTCGTAATGTAACCATGTCTTGTGTTTGTATATGTGCTTCTTAGATCTCCTCTTTTGAGAATGGCCACTCGACCCAAATTTCATATCATCCAGCATAGGGTGTCCCTTGACATCAATATTTATATGCCTGACATATACAACATAAAAAATGAAAACTACGAATTGGAACATCCTTAATGTATTTGGTTGTCGAATTCATAATTTTTTCTCCATTGTCTAATAAATTGTTTGGATAGCATGCTTTTTTTTTTCTTTTCTTTTTCTTTTTTTTTCTTTCCATTTTTTCTTTTTGTTTTTATTAGCTTGGCTTATCAAGTTTCTAATGCATGTGCCCTTGTTTTTCGTTGTGCAGCTAGTGTTATTGAAATCAATAGATGGTGTAGATATTGAGTGGTGCAAGGAAGTCAAAGGAAACATATATGATATGGTTGTTGAAGGTTTTCAACTCTTAAGCAGGTGGACCGCTCGCATTTGGGAGCAATGTGCATGGAAATTCTCTCGTCCCTGCAAGGATCCAGTTCCTACAGAGTCACATGATACATCAGCATCATTTTCGGACTACGAGAAGGTTTTCTTTTTGACTTCTTTTACTTTTTCAGTTTATGATGCTTTGCCTTTTCCTGCTAAGCTAGTAAATCCGTTGGTGCATGTTATACTTTAATTGCAAGCTGACTTCTTTTACTCCTCTGACTTGTATTCTTCGTTCCATCCCTCTCTTTTACCCTCACTGGGAGACATGTCGTTTGTATTTGCCTCAAATTTTGCCTATACATGTGATTAGTTTATGCATTTACTTCATATCCTGCATCCAAGGTTCACTTTTCTTGAAAGTAAAATGTGATTATGAGACTACGGGAAAATAAAGTATGAGGCCAATATTCGTCTTGTGTTCCTTTTGAAATGAGATGGCCTTAGTGCCTCTATGAAGAAAAGCGGGTTCAATTCTGTTGTGGTATTGGTATCTAAGGGTGGCAGGTGCCCTTTTGGGGGAAGTTAGGTTAGGTCTGCATCACTAGGCCTTGGAGATAATTTGTTAATAAGAGTCCACTACCATCCTTTTATATAGAGTAAGGAAGTTAAGTATAGTTGCTTTAGATGAGGGAGACCTTTGGGTTGGTAAGGGATACTGAAGTGGGTTTTACATGGAGTGTTTCCAGGAAGAGGTATGGTGTTGATCAGACTTGACTGTAACCAGTAACTCATGAAAGAAACAAACATAATGAAGCAGGTTATACTTTTGATTGGTTCATGTAGGCACTCCTTACGTCAAGCAGGGATATTAAAACTTGGATTAACAATCAATTTTTGACAGTTCTAAATAGACTCTATGAATGTATATGTGGTTTCTTGGGCATCAGTTGGTAATAGTTGTTCATTTCATGTTCTTCTATTATTTAGTTGTACTCACATACATTAGTGTATCATCAAAACTTCTACATAAGTTTATTGGACCTAATAAATGAATTTACCTATTATTGTTGTGTAACAGGTTGTCTTTATTATTCTTATTTTTCTTATAATATATCATGACAAATTTGTTGAAATGTCTGGTAGGTTGTACGGTATAATTACAGTCCAGATGAAAGGAAAGCTTTGGTTGAACTTGTTAGCTACATTAAGAGCATTGGATCCTTGATGCAGCGGTGTGACACATTGGTAGCTGATGCATTATGGGAAACAATCCATGGCGAAGTTCAGGATTTTGTGCAAAATACATTAGCAACTATGTTGCGGACAACCTTTCGAAAGAAGAAGGACCTATCTAGGTGGATATTTGCTTTCATATCATGATGTTTGAACTCCTTGTTAGAGTTTCTCCACCATATTCAACCTCCATATGATTCCATTTTTGACAATTTTTTTTTTATTAAAAAGTAAAATATGGTCTATTCAGATGCTGCTTTAGGACCATATGATTTTTATTGGTCTTAAAAATGCTGTGAAGTTGATTTTATTTTTTGGTAGGATTGGAGCATGTGGTTTTGGTCATAATATTCTTTTGGTCGTAATATTGTGTGTCAAGATGCAATGAAATTAATATTTGAATCCAACGGCTACCCTCTCTGTCTATTCGTTTTTTGAAATCTCTAGATGTTGCTTAGTAGAGAAAGTAAACAATAGTTGGTCCTTATATGTTGTTGTCTGACAATAAAATTTGTGACTGTTTAAACTATATAGGATCTGTTTGTTGATGTCTCCCAATTGCTTGTTTGTATTTGACTGCTAAATTTCAGGATTCTTTCCGATATGCGTACACTTTCAGCAGACTGGATGGCAAATACGAGCAAACCTGAATCTGAGTTACAACAATTACAGCATGGAGGTGAAGAAAGTAAAGGGAACTTCTTTTATCCAAGGCCAGTTGCGCCAACTGCTGCACAGGTTTAACGTCATTAACTTTGCTCATGCTCTTTACATGATGCTTGTTATTCAGTTTTGAACTGGATGAACTTTTATTATTCATCACTGCTTTCTTCTTTCTTTATTACTGGTTTGAGTAATTTTGTCACATCAAAATGTTGTAATTTGTGCTGAGAATTTGTAAACTATTTTATTGTTGTCTAGTTTACCACATGTGCTTCTTGATACAATTTAGTGTAACGTTGGTGTGTGGATATGTTTGCAGGGGTTGGGATAAAAAACATTAAATTATTATTTGCTTAATTATTTATTTATTTTTTACAGGTGCACTGCTTGCAGTTCCTGATATATGAGGTGGTATCAGGTGGTAATCTGAGGAAGCCTGGGGGGCTTTTTGGGAATAGCGGCTCTGAAATTCCTGTTAATGATTTGAAACAATTGGAAACTTTCTTCTACAAGCTTAGCTTTTTCTTGCATATATTAGACTATACAGGTTCTTCTATCTCACTCTTTCTTTAGGTTTAATGCATGTTATAATATGTGATATTCCTTGTATGGCATTTTGATATTTGAAATTTTTTTCTCTTTGTATGTATAACAATAGGATCATTCAGTTTTGTTAAAAATATGATATTTCATCTTCATGTACAATTGATTGTGTTAGAATTCATGTTTTCTTTTGCATTTTTCAAAATTTTCTTTTGTTTTGACCATTTATTTTTATTTTTATTTTTTTGTGTGTGGCACTTATACCATCAAAATTTATTCATCTATTAAACATGATAAATGCTGTATCAGTGAGGAGGGTTCATGCAGTAACTTTTGAATTGAGAAGGGTACATTGACCTGGATTATATCCTACACAGAAGTGGATTACTGTGAACTCAGGAATATAAGTGGTGATAAATTTCTACTCAGATGTAAAGATTCCTGCAATAGCAGGGTGGAAAATAAACTAATTTGCCAAATTGTTATTTTTTTGGATTTCTATACATTCACATATTGTTGAAGTTAACATTGGTTTTATGGTGTTTGCAGAAACTGTTGCAACTCTGACAGATCTTGGTTTTTTGTGGTTCAGAGAATTTTATTTGGAATCTTCTCGCGTAATTCAGGTGAAGAAAATAAGAAAAGTGGTAGTATCTTTTCTCATATTAAGTGTCAGTTTTATTTAACAATTACAGGCAGATGATACATACATGGTTGTTTAGGTGATATGGTTCTTTGTCATGACGAATAGATATAGCATTAGGATTGATTCAAGTTTTTTACAATCAGAGCATTTGTGGTATATTATGACTGATTAAAGCAACTTTGCTCATGTCCACCTTATATATTAGTATGTAAACAAAGGCCATTCATGAAGTAGTAACTAGCAGTTCCCCCTAAAACGTGATGCTTGCTTGGTAGTTGAACTACCAAGTGTGTTATTTTTCTCTGGAAGTTTGACTTGGCTAGAGTTGTGTGCAGTAGGATTACAGCTGGAATTGTGTTGGTGAGACAAATAAGCCTATATTTACATTGTATTTATCGAAAAAACCCTTCCTTATACTTACATTGTCTAATCTGATTTGTGGCTGAGTTTTAGTTACTCTAGAACTATAATTCAATGGTGCTCTAGAGTAGTATTGTTGATGGGGATCAGGGGAGAGGATTGCACACATACTTTAGGTGCAAAAGGAATCCAAGAAATGAGGGATTTGATTAGCAATTAGCAATTAGGAATTTAGATTTATTATGATTGTCTCCACCTATTTAAGGATTTTTTCTTATTTTCTTATTGGGTAGTAAGTAGCTATACATATATATATAGAGAGAGTGTTTTCAGAGAAGAACTTCCATTTGCGTGATTGAAACTCAACTTTTCTCTCTGCAGATCTTTTCTCTCTTCGTCTTCTTCTCTCTTATTCTTTCTCTTCTATTTTTTTTTTTTTTCCTTCTCTTTTTTGTTCTATGACATTTGGTGTCAAAGCCAATTTAGAGGATACTTATGAAGATACTTTAGAGGTTGAACATTATCTAACAAGAAAAACTCGTTGCTATAAACCATTCTCTTCCATGATGCCTAGTAGGGTTACACAATTAACTGTTACTACACTTTCTCTCTGTCCTATTAGTGTTGCATCCCCTAAGCATGTGGTTTCATTAGAACGAAAATGTTGATCAGGTTAACAATAGTCCTCTCTTGCCTTTGACTAGTGTCTCTTACAAATATCATGATTACTTGAATGATGATCATGTTGTGTCTGCTCATTTTTCTCAAATGGCCAAGAATTTAGAGTTTAAGATTGAATCCCAATCTAATGAAGTGTCAGAATTTGATTTTTGTTCAATCATTAATTCAACAGATGATGATGTTACTTGCAAGTCTGTCACTCCTATCTCTTTGTCTGATTCTGAGCATTCTCTTGATATTATGTTTTAGCGTCCACTCATGAGTCTCTTAATCTTGTTTGTTCACTTGATGTGTGGGTATGTTTCTCTCTTCGGGCAGATTTCTCTTTTCTTCTCTTGTTTCCTTCTATTATTGTATTCTTCTTCTCCTCCTCCTCTACTATTCTTTGTGGCACTGCATCACTTACTTTTCAAGAGGGTGAAATATCAGTACATAGGTTAAAGGCCACTTTATATCGTAGTTTCACTTTTGGTTTAGAGGAAAATTTGTGAAACATCTTTTGCTCTTTTAGATTTTTTGGGAGAGCTTTCTTTTGGAGAGGGTTTATAGTTTATTTTATTTATTTATTTATATAATTTTTTTTTTCTTTTGTTGGTGTATGCCCCATCTGGCATGTTGAATAAAATTACTTCATAAAAAGTGTGTGTGTGTGTATCCTCCATGTTATCTGGATATGCTTTCTCTCCATGTGATTGACAGAAACTTGTATGTTGTGCATGTGCAGTTTCCTGTTGAATGCTCTCTTCCCTGGATGCTGGTGGATCATATGATTGAGTCGCAAAATGCAGGTCTTCTGGAGAGTGTTTTAATGCCATTTGACATCTATAATGATTCTGCTCAGCAAGCATTAGTTATTCTCAAGCAACGCTTTCTCTATGATGAAATTGAAGCTGAGGTGATTGAATAAAATTGAACAAAGTGAAGTTTTTCTTGTGAAGATTCTTTGATGATTTTTGTCTATTTTGTGGAAGTTTTTCTTGTGCATGGAAAATCTGCATATAATATGTTTTCCCTTGTCATACAATCTGAAACTTTTTGGTGAACTTCCAGCATCAGAGCTAATATTTAATGGAGGTGAGCAAGGATTGAAGTTTTGTTTTGGTGTTTCATTTGGTCAGCTTTGAAATGGAAAAGTTTCAGAAAAGTTTTGAATCATAAGGGAAAGGAAAAAAAAAAAAAAAACTTTAGAAAATGCAATGAAATGTTTGGAAACAAACTTTAAAACCCATCCACACACACACACACACACATATATATATGTATAAGATCAACAATTGATTAAATGAACACGTTTGAGGCTTTTCGGTAATGGCTAAAGGTTAAGAACGATGTTCAACAAAGGTCAAATAAATATTGAATTTAATAAACAAAAGTTTAAAGGATTTATTTGGGGCTATGGAGTTTGCCTCTAGAAAATGTATGACAGGTTCTATTTGTTGTAGATAAGAAAAAGAAGAAGAAAGTGCTTGTAAGAACAAAAAATCTCCACTCCGAGCTTCTAACTCACTATGAGTGTCTCAATGACGTGTATTTTATTCAGTTGTGAATATTTTGTTTTCTTTTCTAGGTGGATCATTGTTTTGATATATTTGTTTCAAAGCTGTGTGAGACGATTTTTACATATTACAAAAGTTGGGCAGCAAGGTATGCTCTTGCTCTGTGGTTTGCACCTGTCCTATTAAAATTGTTTTATCTTACTATTTCTTTCTTTCTTTTTTGTTTTTTTGGGTTATGAAATTCTGCAGTGAGCTACTTGATCCCTCATTCCTTTTTGCCCTGGATAATGGGGAAAAGTTTTCTGTCCAACCTATGAGATTCACTGCACTACTAAAGATGACTCGAGTTAAGGTGAGGAGATACTTATTATTGATCCAGAAAATTCATGGAGGCTTATGGAGACTTTATTTACAATTTTATAATTTTATTTACGTCTTTAATACTTTACTTATTTATTTTTATTTATAGTTCATTAGGATCTTAGCAATATTTGGATTCTTATTTTTAGGGATTCAGTTCTAAATAAGAATAGGATCTAGTTTTCTATTTTAAATTAGGGTTTCTAGTCTATAATTATTAAGTGGTTTCTTCGTAATAGCTAGCTTTGAATTAATGATATTGAGACTGTTTTAAGGCTGTGGCCATTTTACGAGATTAGGGTTTTGACCCTTCTTGTCTATTACAAAGGTTTGCTTTTGAACATGAATCGTTGGATTACGCCAAACGGATCACACTTTCTTTTTGTCAATGTTTGTTTGTGTAAAAATTTATGTATTATTGATTGATGTTTTTTGATTGTATTTTTTACAATTACAAGGATTCCTATTATATAGGAGTGTGTTTGGGAGTAGGTGGAGAGGTGGAGTAGGTGAAGTGGAGATGGTAGTGGTGTAGTGGGTTAGGTTTAGTGGAGTAGGTGAGGTGGTAGTGGTGGTAGGTGAAGTGAAAATTTTAACAGCCCCCCGCAAACTCAAGGAGGATAGAAACTAACCAACGTGAGTTTGAAGAGAGGAACAAAATAATAAAATACATAAAAATAAAAAAGGATAGGATTGCCATGGATTTCTAATTCTTGATCAGCACTTGAGTTTTATTGTTCAGCCAAATCTTTTATTTTTTCTTGTCTTTCAGCTATGTTTTTGACCTTCTCACCCCGTTCCTCAATTCCGTTTCTCATTGATTGTGGATTTGATGCATGTATAGTTATTGGGAAGGGCAATTAATTTAAGAAGTTTGATTGCTGAGAGGATGAACAAAGTCTTCAGGGAGAACATTGAATTTTTGTTTGATCGGTTTGAGTCTCAGGATCTATGTGCTATTGTGGTAAGTGACTTTTCTCTATTTGGTTCTTGTAACGAACAAGTAAACTTTGTTATCTCTTATTTTTATTTTTGAAAATGATGTTTTGGTTTCAGGAATTGGATAAACTTCTGAACATCTTGCAGCTTGCTCATGAATTGTTATCTAGAGATCTTTCAATCGACTCATTCAATCTCATGTTGAGTGAGATGCAAGAGAATATATCTCTTGTTTCTTATTCCAGTCGACTTGCTTCTCAGGTCTGGAAAAGTAGCTTTTCTTGTTGCCTTGAATATTTTCCCTCTCTTCATATTTATGTTTGCACTCAAGCTGATCTGCGTACATGGTAATGTTATCTGTTATGACACAAAAAAATTAGTATATGTTCTCTCTGAAAATGCTTGACCAGTTTAAAAATGATACTAAATTCTGCTTTGACAAATCTTTGTGAAAATTGATAGCAATAGGTCTTTCTTGTCTTTGTGTTGCAAACTCCTTGGGATGGTAGGGACATGGACCTTGTGGTCCTTGACCACAATGATTTTAAAGAGCACTCTTACTTGGAATGGAAACTGTATAAGTGTAGATTGGATGATCAGAGGTTCATTGGAGAGTGAAGAAAGACATCAGACACCAGAGAGCGTAGGCCTATATAGAGAACCAATCCAGCAGCCCAACCAGTGCAAATTGACCTGAAATAGCAACTTATGGTCAGTGTCAAATAATGAATCGGAAGTGGGTTTTGGGGGATTAGAAAATTGGGTGGGTGCAATTGGGTGTTGGGTTTGGAATCATTCTACCCGACTTGACCGATGGTGTAATCTCATTGGCTAGATTTTTTTACATGTATAACTTGACCCAACTTATGATATCCTTTTATTTATTTATTTATTTTTTTAAGTGTATTTCCTTATTTTGGAACATAGCGATATAATTTTGTGGCTTGAGTTGTTAATGATTATTATTTTTCCATAACCAAGTTTTTTTTTTTTGTTTGTTGATAAATTCCATGACCAAGTTTTTTTTTATCTTGTAGATTTGGACAGAGATGCAAAATGATTTTTTACCAAACTTCACGCTATGCAATACTACACAGCGATTTGTTCGATCATCGAAAGTACCCCTTGCTCCTGTTCAGAAGCCTTCAATTCCTTATGCTAAAGCGAATTTCTACTGTGGTACTCAGGTAGAACATCATCAATTCAGCACCATCACTGAAGTGAATGTTTTCAATACTGCATTGTCTTTACAGAATGAATGAAATGGTTCTTTTCTTTTGTTGATATTTTTTGTCCATTGACTTATTTCTTGTTGTCTAACTGTTAAACTATACATGGTTCATACTTCATGTCGTTCTATATAGTCTACTTCATGTCATTCTGATGGATTTTGGGGGTTTTGGATGCAATAAGAAGGCAAAAGTGTTATGGGTCTGTTCTTTTTCTTCAATTTTTTAGGTCATTGGGTTAAAACATAACTCAATATTTTACAAAGACAAGATGGAGGATATTGATTTCTTATGGGATGGAGTTTGTTTTTTTTTTCCCTATCTTTTTGGGCATCAGTTTCTTCTCCTTTTAGGGGGATTCATCTCTTTTTAGTGATTGGAGGGCAGTTTGTGATGTGTGGATTGAGATTTTTTTTCCCGTTTTAGTTTTCCTTTGGAGGATTCCTTGTTTTCCGGTTTCTTGTAACCCTCTTTGTACGTAATAAAATTCTTTTGGTTGTTGCTGATAAAGAAAAAAGACGCCAAACCTACAATGGATTAGTTGAGTCTGATGAGATAGGAGCTTCAGAATATATCGGTCTTTAAAATAGCCACGATTTGATAGTAGAGAGATGCGGAGGAAGGGGGAGAAGGTAGTAGAATAATGAATGTTTGGTTAATTCTCATTTGTGGCAAAGTGTGGGCATCCATGAGTGAAGCACAACCTAACCTTGGTTAGGAAAGAAAAGAGGGATGAGTATGGGAGAAGAAAAAACAAAAGGAGAAGGGCAATACGATGATAAGGAAAGGGAATAGAGAGCACGTGTAGCTGGCTGTAGGGTTTCTTAAATTGCAGGCAACCCGCCAAAGTGCCAAAACCAGGTATATAAAGGAAGAAACCTTAAGAATCTTGCCATTTTTTTTCTCATCTTATGTATCATCATCTCATGTAATCTTATGTCTCATGTCAGTTAGTTAATCATATTTGTACTGTACCTAGCACTTTAAAAGCTTAAGGGTGTGTCAACATTCACACATCATAAATACCCAAATCTTTAGTATGAACTGAAAAAGAATGAACAGAAATTATATTTCTGGGTTCTGTCTTATACATATTTTATTGTAATTGAATAAACCTGAGCAACTGTGTTGCGATCTTAATTTTCTTAAATGGCTGAAATTTCATTTTGCACCCTCAAAAGGTGTGCCCAATTTTGTCAAAAGGCGTGCCATCTTCATCAAAAGACGAGCCATCAAAAGGCGCGCCAGACACGCGGCGATGCACGTGATCGACAGTGCGCGTGTCGGCTTCTTCGTCATGTTCTATATAAATCAATGCGGAGGCTGAGGTAGAAAACCTGCTAAAATCTTCTGAAAAACTCTTCCTTGCCTGAGAGAGAAACTCTGTAATACGCTGTAACTAACCCGTCTCTGAAACACTCAGCAACATGGCCTCTTCTTCCCGTCCAGCTACCCAAAACATGGCCTCCTCTTCCCGTGGGCTGCTTACGCTCTTTCCAGAACTGAATGAGTCCACAAGAGAAATAACTGGTGCGGTGGCCAGTGAACCTCAACCAAACACCTCTGGTTTTGCTCCGTTGAACTTTCCGATGCGGTCGGTGGAGCAAAAAATGGCGGTGCAAACTGATATTGAGGCCAATCAGTATACTCTGAAGTCATGTGTGGAAACCATGACTGCGGTCACAAACTTGTCGCACCGGCTGCAGAGCAGGACAAATGAGGTGCAACAGTTAAACTCCCAGCTGGCTCTGCTCCAACGCATGTATAAGGATGCGCGAGCAGAGATAAGTGTGCTAAAGGCAGAAAACAAGGAGCTGAAGCGGAAGGCCACCGTGATGTTCCGATTCGGAGGTCCGCCATATGCGGCAGTGGAGGAGCAGGGAGTATTGATCATGCCCAGTGGAGGGGGAAACACGGAGGCAATACCGGCAAGGGCCGCTCAGGACGGAGGCAAGAAGAAGAGACCGGCGGAATAGGTGAAGAAGTGAGGTCGGTTGGTGGCCGGCGGCAGAAAAGAAAACAAATTGTTTTGTTTGTTGTGGTTGTTTTTTTTTTTTTTTTTTTATGTAAAATGGTGATCGTGGTTTTTTTTTTTGGTTGATGTAAAATGGTGATCGGGGTGAGCCCCTGATATGAATAAAATATGAGTGTTGGGCAAATGAGGAAATTGTTTGTTTGATTGTATGTTTGATTGGACGTGTGCCCCTCTTTACAAAACAAAAACAATAAAATAAAAGAAAATAATAAAAAAAAGAGATATATATATATATATATAGATGGGGTAGGGGAAAAGATGGGTTTTAAAAAATAGTGGGTATGGGAAAGATGTGGTGGAAGTGATGATGATGATGTTTTTTTTTTTTTTTTGTTTTTTTTTTTAAATTTGGTTCTGTCAGTGAGCACATGGAGTTGGAAGAATGGGTGGATAATAAAAAAGAAAAAAGAAAGGGAGCATGGTGGGTATGTGAAGGAGATAAAAAGCTATAGGTTTTCTTAAATTGCAGGCAACCCGCCAAAGTGCCAAAACCAGGTATATAAAGGAAGAAACCTTAAGAATCTTGCCATTTTTTTCTCAACCTATGTATCATCATCTCATGTTATCTTATGTCTCATGTCAGTTAGTTAATCATATTTGTACTGCAACTAGCACTTTAAAAGCTTAAGGGTGTGTCAACATTCACACATCATAAATACCCTAGTATGAACTGAAAAAGAATGAACAGAAATTGAATAAACCTGAGCAACTGTGTTGCGATCTTAATTTTCTTAAATGGCTGAAATTTCATTTTCCCACCCCCAGTTAAGGTATCTAGTTGTGGTTTTCTCTAACTTTCTCTGGCTGATCTGTTTCAGATAACTACCCTCGAACCAATGATCACAGGACTGCAAGATGCATTGCCAAAATCAATTGGACTTCTTCCTTTTGATGGAGGAGTAACAGGTAGCTCAGAGTAGAATATAATTTTGCCTAAAATATTTAAGTCGTATCTTTTCCTTGGATTTAAGTTTATTTGTATGTGCATCAGGTTGTTTGAGGCTTGTCAAAGAACATCTTAACTGGGGGTCAAAATCAGAACTCAAAGCAGAGGTTCTTCGTGGAATAAAGGAGATTGGAAGCGTATTATACTGGATGGGGCTTCTTGATATTGTTCTGGTGAGTTTCATGCATTATTTTTTCATTATACCTTTAAAAACCTCATAAGAGGGTGGGAAGTAAATTTCATTGCACTAACATATATATTAAATTAGTGAACGGGCAAATGTCGGACGACCAAGTGTATTTGTTGAATTTATAAATGAGATAATTCGGTAAAATATTGAATCCAATTAAATGAAAATATAGTATAAATGTCTCTTGATAGGTACACAGTAGAACAATTAAGCAAAGAGCTTAAGTTAAAAGTTTCTGCACTCTACTCTCATACAAAAGTTTGTTGATGACATGAAAAACTATTTTTTCTTTGTAATGCAATTTACTCTTTATAGATTGATAGGGAGAGATATGATTGCTTAATCTGTAAAGACTAAGTTATAATGATCAATTGCATCTCTCCCTATCAGGTCAATTATAACGATCTCAAATGTCTCATTAATAGCTACGTTATTTGATAGAAGAGTCTAGATCAGAGCTTACTAGGTTGATTTGTAATAATGTAGTGTATCAAATTTTTAACTGCAAGCTTCTCACAGTTCTTGTCTCACATGTGCAACAGAGAGAAGTAGATATCACGCATTTCATGCAAACAGCCCCATGGTTAGGCTTGATTCCTGGTGCAGATGGGCAAATATTGCAGTCCCAAGATGGGGGAGATAGCCCTATCGTCACTCTCTTCAAATCAGCAACTTCTGCAGCTGTGTCAAACCCAGGGTTCTCAAATCCAACAGCATTCTACACCATATCAAAACAGGCAGAAGCTGCTGGTGCATAGCTACCATCTCTCCTTGAATGAATAATTTATTACCATCTCTCCTTGAATGAATGATTTATTGGGGAGCTTCATTTATGCACACATGTTTTTCTAAGTTCACATTATTTTTTTGTTTGGATATCAACTACTGAATGAAATCTAGTGGATATTTGACAGTTAAAAAGACTATTTTATTTGTACTCAACATGGATATTTTTTCATTTCTTGAAGCTTAGTGCTCTAAGAAGCACGGACACTTCTAAGAAGGTAACGTATCCGTGTCGGACACCGACACTCCTTGGACACTTTCCCGACACGTGTCCGACACTCTTTAAAACGTGTCCTATTTTTTAAAGACTTGGACACTCTTTGGACACTTGGGGAATACATGTGTATCTCTTAAACACACGTTTCTATCAATTAGACACATGTGAAACCAATTATAAGTTTGAACAAAACAACTTAAGATACAATAATAAAACAAAAATCATATAAATTCATAAGAATTATTGTCATATTTAATATTTTTATTATCTTTGAATGATATATTCATATATATAACATATAATAAATATATAAAATTATATATTTCATGCGTGTCCCCCGCGTATCGTGTCCTGCATTTTTTTAAAATTAGCGTGTCGGAGTGTCCGTGTCGTATCCGTGTCGTGTCACGTGTCCGTGTCCATGCTTCTTAGTTAGTGCTAACTGTATACTTTTCGACTAATCTGAACCTCTCTATAAGTCATTTGTCTCAATATAGTCAATATCCTTCACTATTTCCTTTTGTTTTCCATTATTTTTTAATTCATATATTCGTCAATCTTCACACATGTTTTTCTAAGTTCACATTATTTTTTTGTTTGGATATCAACTACCGAATGAAATCTAGTGGATATTTGACAGTTAAAAAGACAATATTTTATTTGCGTACTCAACATGGATATTTTTTCATTTCTTGAAGCTTAGTGCTAACTGTATACTTTTCGACTAATCTGAACCTCTCTATAAGTCATTTGTCTCAATATAGTCAATATCCTTCACTATTTCCTTTTGTTTTCCATTATTTTTTAATTCATATATTCGTCAATCTTACGGGATTAAGCATCTTGCTTTTATTGTAGATCTGTTGTACAAAGCTAACATGAATACTGGAAGTGTGCTGGAATATGCCCTTGCTTTTACAAGTGCAGCATTGGATAAATATTGTACCAAATGGAGTGCAGCTCCAAAGACTGGATTCATTGACATTACAACTTCTAAAGACTTCTATCGCATATTTAGTGGCCTCCAAATTGTAAGTAAAACCTTTCAAATTCCTTCTTTGTTTTCCGCTAGTATAATATTTTGTTTAATAAATCTACACTTGAAAAGTATCCCATGTCTATCCGGCAATAGTGTGATATACTTTATTGACATAGCTTTGCACTATAATAAGCTCAGATGCTCTTATGTTCTTGGTGTTCACCATAGTAGCAGGCATACTATTTCTTTATTGATTTCTTTCTACTTTGGGAACATTAGGCTCTGTTTGTTTGTATTCTCAAATCAATTTTCTACGTGTGTTTTGGAGCATGATGTTTGGTTACGTTTTCAAATCAATTTTCTACACTCTCTGCAGAGAACTCTGTGCACACAGGACCCATACGTAGTTTGAAACAGTCTTTGCTCCTTTCTGTTTTTCTGGATAAGAAATGGTTTTCCATTATCTGTTGTCTTCAGTTAAGGTTATTCAAGATTTGTACTGCTCATGTATGTATAGCCTACAGGATCCAAACTTTTTGAGTGTATAAAGTTTACCTTTGTTTGGTGCTTTGTCAATAATATTCTACTCATAAAAAAGGGCCTCCTGGAGAAGTGGTTACAGAGTTATTAATGTGAGAAATAAGGTTTAGAGGTCAATGGTGGCCTCAAAGTTTGGGTGTGCTTGGTGTAACTGGTCTATGTAACTATGTTTGAGGTGACTATGTCCAGTTGTAGGATGAGTTCCTCATGCATGTTCATTTCCTATGGTGGCTTTTTTTCTTGATTGAGAAAAGAAAATCTGGTTAGGTTTGGTTGAGGAAGAGAGCAGGAAATGGAACAGGAAAATGCTTAAGCTGATAAACAAATACAACTTCATTATTTATTTCATAAATAGTATTGACAATTACATTAAAATAATCTTTGGTTGTGTATTTTGGTTGAAAATATACATTGCTCTTATAGTTGTACCATATGAAAATTTTTGAACGTTTTCAGTAACTAGCAATTTGATTGTTTCATGTTTGTGTACCTCGTTTTGTAGTAAGATAAAACATAATAGATATCTTCTCGTGTTTCTAATCTGATGAGGCTCATTTAACTACAGGAGTATCTGGAGGGATCTGTTCAAGTATCACCAAGCAATCATGAAGTGCTAGGTGATTCAGTAGCCTGGGGTGGTTGTACTATAATATACCTACTTGGCCAGCAACTGCACTTTGAACTGTTTGATTTTTCATATCAAGTCCTCAATGTTGCAGAAGTGGAAGCTGCACCAATTATGCATACTCAGAAGTATGCTCATTCTGTGCAGGTATAAAGATTGCCTTTTATTTATAATTACATCCTCAATTACATAGTTAATTGTTGATTTTCTTGTATTCTTGTTGATTGTTACCTCGTGATATTGCCGCGTATACTTTGAATGCCAGTCTATTTATAATGTCAACCTCTTTTATTGTGTTGTAGCTTGTATTTCCATCTCAATGGTTCCTCTAACTGTTCTTATAGGTGGGGGGATCATTGCCCTAGTTTGAGTAGTCACCAAGTGTACCAGTGTTGCAGCCCTAACTGTCATTTACTGCTTCAAGGACTCTCATTCTATTTCATGTGATTAGCCAGAAAAGATGTCCATTTAGGTGTACTTTTGAAATTTTCTGTTTGCTGGAATTTCAGGTGTGGAATGTCAATCTAGGTGTAATACAGCAAAGGCTTTAGCTTATCTTCATTAGCAGTAGCCTATTGTCTTGATTAATCTAGATGAGATGCCAAGATATGTAGTATCAAAATAATATTTCATTGACTTGGCTAATGGGCATTCATTTGAGTGCTTGCTATAGAAATAGAGATTTAAGGGACAGTTGATGAGTACAAAGCCTATATATGTGCTAACTTCATATAATGTGTGGCATTCGCAGTTAGTGCGTATTTGAGACATTCAAAATAATAGGTTGACGAGGGGACTAAGTAAAAAAGGAGTGCAGAGAGTGCAGGATGATTAAGAGTGGAATGTGACTATCATTACTCTTTCTTATATATATATTTATGAAATCGGAATTACAGAACTAATATGAAAATCGTTGCATAAAGCAGCATATTCTTAAAATCTCCTGCTGTAATATTGATGTTCTTTTATTTTTAGGAAATTATAAACTAAATACTATTCATCTAGCTGTCCAAACATGAGCAGTTGAGTCATCTTTGAAATGAATTTTAACTCTTGACCATCATGTAAAACTGATTCCAGTAAAATGATAATTAATGCTTTTGTTGCATTTGACTTTTTTTTGTTTTTGTTTCTGACTGAATTCTACTTTCCAAAAAAGGGGTGGGAAGCCCTACTAGAAGCAATGAAGAAAGCAAGGAGGCTGAATAATCATGTGTTTTCGATGCTGAAAGCCCGCTGCCCGCTGGAAGACAAACAGGCATGCGCCATTAAGCAAAGTGGTGCCCCGCTACATCGCATCAAGTTTGAAAACACAGTCTCTGCATTTGAAACGTTGCCGCAGAAAGGTTCTTAAGTTGATTCTTCCTTCAATCTCTGTTGCCTTTTTTATTTTTATTTTATCTTCTTTTTGTATAGTATATATCTGCTTGTTCATGGTGCCAAAGATTGTTGGCATTGAAGCTCTTCTTCACGTCTGATGTAATAATCAAAACATCACAATTAACAAAATCCGGCATTAATATTAAGACGCTAGAATTGAGCCTCAAAATTCACCATTATTGAATGAAGTGTGAAACAAAGTTCTTTTTTTATGAAGTTTGCAAATCAGGTGCTTGAAAACCTTGTCAACACTCAAGATTTTAGTACATTGTATCGATGAATGTATAATGAGAGGATTACATGAGGTTGGCTATAAAACTACCTCTCCTACGCCACAGATCTTGTTCCATATGCATATTTGTCTTGTACTGGTAGACCACTAATGATTGATATCCAGGCTGCTACTATGGATGCTGAGATTTAGTTGTACATTTTGAGTGTCAACTGCTAGTTATTCAACTTGGTATGAAATCTTGTTACCTAACGTGATACAGCTTAGAGTTGATAATGCTTCATCTTTTGCTTTTCAATTCACTATAAGGGATTGACTTGTCTCAAGTTGAAAATTGAACTGGATCAAATAGTTGAGGTCTCTATCCAGTAAGAATCATTAAACAGAAGATTCTAACTGGTAAGAGTCATTAGACGAAAAACTCTTTATCGGTAAAAGTCTTCGAAAAAATTTAACTAGGCCATATTTTCATAAATTCTTAATAGTAAAAGTCTTCCGTTTAATGATTTTTACCAGTCAAAAACCTCAACTGTTTGGTCCAGTTCAACTTTCATCTACAGACGAGCCAAATCCTTTATATAATACTAGTCATGTGGTGACATTATATATAGTGGATGCATGTTTGTTGTTTTAAAGTTAGTACCTAAAATGAAATGACATTAACATTTAGCTATAAGATAATGTTTTTTCGTAAGACAAATGTTATGATGTAGATTTAAATTTTGTGTGGTGTGGACCACACTAGAGATAAATGCAATCCACACATTTCAAATTTTAGGTAATTTTCTGTGTAAATATTTTGAGGACGTTGTTTTGTAATCTATGCCTTTTTTTTTTTTCTTTTGGGGTGAAAAATCTTTTGCTACTAATCTTACCTATTTATGGGTGTGTCATTCTCACAAATCATTTTATTGTATAAAATTATAACAAAGCCTTTTTGTTTACACTTACTTAAATGTCTAAACGATTAAGGTAAAGAGACTCTTTTCATACCGTTTTTGATGTTAATCTAAACCTAAGGGTAATTTTCTTTGTGCATGATAATCAATATGAGGAAGGAAATTTCGATCAATTAGGTCTTCACAAGACGATCTATTTTTCTGACATAATGTGCCAATACCCTCTATATTCTAAGACCAAATGGGGATCTTTATGTGCCATTCATACTCAACCAACCCGTCTCAATCCAGGTCAACCATCAATTGGTCCAATATTAGGTTGTAATATGATGAGTTGGGGGTTTGATAGATTTTTCATGTCCATTTGATTCAATTGAGACATTGTAGGATAAAATGATTAATTTGCACAAAATTGGTAATTGAATGTTTACTTTGTATATTGAAAATATTTAAATTCATTATGATATTGCTAGGTGTTACTCATGATTTGCAAAATGACAAGAAAACCACCAACAAAACTAAAAAAATTAAAATAAAATAAAATAAGATTGCACCATTAAATTAAAGATCTATTTATTGACAAACAAACCAGCTAGAGAACAACATTTTGAGAGCATTGAGGATTGCTGCTCAGTTTCTCTGCTATATATAAATAAATATTTATCTACTAATTATTGATGAAAAAAATAAACAAGAAAAACACAGACTTAAACAAGTTTGGAACAATTAAGAGGAACAAAGAGAGAACACAAAAGCATTGGAGATTAAACCATGGAATTAGAATCTAAGGCCATGATGGTGCTGAGATTCATTGGGTTCATGTAAACTCTGGAGCCAGAAACAATCCGCTGCACTATAATCTTGTTGGCTTTCTCAGATGGATGGAATGCATCCCAAAATGCATATATGTCCCTGTTTGGGCACAAGTTTGATGCTGCTGTGCAAAGTCCTAGTCCATTGTAAGGTCCTTGCCCACAACATGCTACCTTTGATGTTACAAAACCTGCCACCCAAACACAGCCCTAAGTCATTATTACATTAACATTTGCATATGCTAAAAGAAAAAGGGTAAAAGTCTACTTTATGTCCAAAATTAGATAAAAAAATGATACATTGACAGTTATGCAATATAAATATATAACTCACACCAGTGAGACAAATTCAAATTTTAATATAATATATTTGTATGTCACGTAAAAAGCTAACGTGATATTTTTTGTCGAATTTTAAACAAAATTAAAAATGATATATGGACAGTCACAAAACATAAAAATATTTTAGGGTAAATTAAAAATACTCCCCGATATTTGTTTAAAATACGATTTGTCTCCTGTAGTTCTGAAAATTTCATCCAATCCCTTGAAATTTTTAATTTCATAACAAATGACCTATTTTATTAATCGGTGGTGCTACATGCACTAATTAATGTACTAACTAGTGTACCAACACTAGTTATGACATTATTATTGACCCTACTCATTAATTACATTACAAATTTCAAAAATCTCTTAAATTATACCGCATCATCAAGTGATATACTAGTTAGTACACTAATTATTTTTTATTATTAAATCATCAAGTCAATTAATAGTTTTAATAATGTCATAAATTTATTTCAATTAATAATTTAGATAATTTTATCATTGTATAGGAGAAAAGATATGAGTTTTATTTTTTTAGTTAATTTAGTTAAATAAAATATTATAACAAGGTGGTATTCATAATTTTTCAATTTACAGGGGCGATCAATGGATATATTTGTAATTTATCTAATATTTTATTATATATAATTAACATTTCTAACACAAACTTAAATCCTAATATAATACTGATTCGTTTGGAAAAAAAAAATTTACCTTATTTTTTGACTTGTTGACTATTTTGACCTGACTAAAAAAGTTACGTTTGGAAAGAAATTTTGACTTTTTTTTGTAATATTGTGAGAGAAAAATTGAAATGATTATAATTTTAATGTGATATTTTATCTTATTAATTTTTTAATCTATTTTATTTTTTAATGGGCTAAATTAATTCCAACTAACTTCCCAAAAGAAGCGTTTGTTTGAAAAGTTAACTATTTTAGTTAGTTTTTTTTTTTTTTTTTGACTATTTTAACCTGATTAAAAAAGTTGAAACCTGATTAAAAAAATTTTGTTTTGGAAGTTTGTTTGTTTTTTTTTTTTTTTTTTTTTAATTGATTTGATAGTTGTGAGAGAAAAATTAAAATAATTATGATTTAAATGTAACATTTTATCTTATTGACTATTTTAATTTATTTATCTTTAATAGCTATTTTAGTGCAAAATCGCATGACAATTAGCTTTAGAAGCAAATAAAGAAAAACTTAAAACATGAAATGTGAAAAAAAAAAAACAACCATGACAGGCCAAAGTGAAGAAATAGTGAAAGATAAAGAGTAAAATTGATGGAAAAGAAAAATATACCATAAGCTTGAGGATCACTGATGAAATCCCTGTTCATGAGTTGAGTATTTGCAGTGACGAAGACGCTGGTGCCGATCCTGGCGTTGAGTCCGTTGGTCATTTGGATGAGTTGAGGGTTGAACAACTCTGCTGCTCTCTGCAGTTCCGCGGCGCATTCTCCGTTTCGACTGCGCATTGCCAATTCCGCCGGTACACATCCTAATGGTCCCGTACCGGTCACTATCACCCTCCGCGCCCCCAAATCGTACAGTCTCTGCCATTCATTCGATTTTCAACTATACATGATTATGATGCAGTAATGACGTATATACTCTTAATTTTACACTTTGGATTATTTTACAAATTTATTTTTTTTGTAATTTTTTTATTTTTTTAAAATCGAAAGTCATGTAAAAAATAGACGGAATAATTAAATTTTTTGTACTGAATTTTTGACTTTTTCATTAATTGTAACGATAGAAATGGTGGTAGAAAAAATGATGATAGTGTTGTTAATACTTTAGCTCTATAAATGTTTTTTTACATTTGACTATTTAAAAAAAAAAATTATTTTTAAATTGTTTTTTTTTTTTAAATAGTCAAATTTAGACCGTTGGATCATCCATTGTAAGTAGGGAGGCAAGAAAAAAATACAAGTAGAGGATCTGGACTCTGCCTTTGCACCCACTTTCATGTTGACTCTCGTGTCCATTTAAACTACCACTTTGCTTTGCTAGTACACACTTCACTCTCACAGACAGACTCATCTCCATGCTAAAATTAAGAAATACAAAATTAAATTAAAAATTCGACACATTAACAAAAATACCTGTAAAACTTTCTGATACTCAGAGATGAGAAAGCGAACGTAATCCGGGAGAGAATACTGACGAGAGCGAGCAGAGAAGGGAACCAAGTAGTAGTTGTTGACGAAGTCGTTGCCTCCCAACGTTATCAGAACAAGTGCTTGGTTTACAAGTTGTTTTGCCCTTGCACTTCCTATCAGTGCACTCACTCTTTGCTGGTATTGTTGGAAGTATTGCATCTGTTGTGTTATTCTTAGTATGTTCACCTATATACACATACAATGTTGTTTTTTTTTTTTTTCTTGTCAATATTTAATCCACCAATATTGCAATGTTGTAATAAAAGACATTTTAATCCATCAATATTACATCAGCATATTTAGTGATTTCGGTTTTTAATATCAGTACCAACTAGGCCTAGTTCAATTAGTGATGTAATGCAATTATATTAATTAGTACCACACCATATACATAGTTATTCGTCATTTCGCTCTATTAGGAATTATATTCTTAATTAGAACTTTATTTATTAGTAAATTAATGAAAATTATTTATTTGGTTAAATAAATTATTAAATGAAACTTACAAACTGAGCTCCAGTGTCATTAAGTATTCCGACTCCAGCAGAAGCAAAGTTGGCACCAACAAGTAGTTTTTGCCCGGTGAGCTGCGGACTTAGGTATGGTAATGTGGATTCTGCTCCGAGATGCTGACCTGATAATTAAAATTACAAAATTAATTAACCAAAATGCATGGATATGCATATCAATCAATGTTTGAACAAATTTTTATTTCGATGCAACTCACGCCATATCAAATTTAAATTTAAACCATGCATTCCAATTTTGGTTATTTTCTGACCCTTTTTTTTTAATATATAGTATTTCTAGACAAGGAAAGTGAGTTTTATAGGTAGGAGTGGTTGTCCATATGTGTAGTCTATCACTATCACTTCTCCACATTATAAGGTTCATATTTAAGACATGTGTAAACCTTGATAATGATATTCTTCTTCAAACCACACATTGAGATTTCTAAAATCTCACTTCTTAATTTACTAGGTTAGGTGTTGATTCGTGTATGAATTAAACACTTGACACAATTCTCTACCACATTATTGTAGCTGAATTTAAATGTGATATTTTAAAAGTCTCTAACAAGACTAATAAAATAGCGCCATTTTCATAAATTCAAAAATGAAATAAAATCAAGAAGAAACAAAAAGGCCTGATTATCAAATTGTGAAATTTCCCAAGGTCTATTATTACTGGCTCACTCATGCATGCATATGATGATCAACATGTCAAAACACAATGTAGACAAGTATTAATGTGTAGTGAAATTTAGTACTCAACTGATAAAATCAACACAATGTAGACAAGTATTAATGTGTAGTGAAATTTAGTACTCAACTGATAAAATCAGGGATGTTAAGGCCATTAGAGAAGCGGCCGGTTGGGCGGTGTGTAGGATAATCTATGCCGTAAGGAGGGGAGTCGGCACGGGCGGTGGTGGCCAAGTAGTCGTTGTTGCCATTGTCCACTAGAGAGTCTCCAAACACGAAGAATGCACGAGCCTCTGCTTGACGGACAACCAGTCCCATTGCCAATATAAACCCTAAAATGATCCAGAAACATGGAATTGATGATGATGAAGATGAGCTAGCCATGACAATGGCAATTGAAACAGCCTAAATATGAACAAGTAGCTAGCTCTTATGCTGTTTTTCTTTTTTCTTTTTTTTTGGGCTAACACAACTAAAGGGTGTGGTGTGTTTGGAGAGCAAGAGAGGGCTTTATATATTTGTAGTGTACGGACACATAGACTAGTATAAATTAATGGCCAATTCAACCACAGTTGTACCTATTAAAGAAAGACCACAAAAGATACAACAAAGTTTTGCCAGTACTACAGTAAATGTTAATTCAATTTGGCCAGTTGTTTATGGGAGATCTCTAGCATATACTATTACTAGCTTATAATGTGAAACCTAATTTAAGTTCCCCAAAAAAAATAGTAGCATTTGAAAATGAAGATACTTTCTTTTCTCTCTCTCTCTCCCTCTCTCCTTAGCAAAATTAAGAAACTCAAAAAAATTGTCAGAAAATGAACAGTGTAGACCAAATTCATCATAGCACATCACACTGAGCTTGAATCTACAACTTGCACTTCATTTTGTGACAAATTTCCGGATAACTTTTTCGTACACTCTAGTATTTCTGCCCCCTTTTTTTTCTTCTTTTTTTTATTTTTATTTTTATTAAATAAATTCAACAACCTAAAAACTCCCTAATGCTGTGTTTGGTTGGGGGATTTGGAGAGGGATTTGGAAAGGGAAATGGAAAAGGTAAGTGAAATATGAATAAATCATGCCTATATTTCACATAGTTTCACACACCTTTTCCCTTTCTCTTTCCAAATCCCTCCCCAAATCCCCCAACCAAACACACCATAAAAATTTTAAATACAGAGAAAAGGCCAAGGAGGGCACTAACTACACTGCTTAAGGTGTTATTTATTATTACATCTTTCCCTCTTCGCTAAGGTGGCATGCCATTAAATTGACTTATATCAAAATCGCCCTCATGAATAAATTGTTAAAAAACAGAAGAGAGTATATTATGATTGCCTACAATATGAAATGAAATTAAAAATTACTAGTATCAATTTCACAAAGGACTTCCTAAAATTAATAATGAACAAAAATTTTAGATTATTTTAGCAGAACAATAAGAATGGACAATGATGCTTTAGATTTATGAACAATTTGGGAATGAAAGATTCTATTTACACTACACATTTATTTCTTTACACTCTTCATTTGATATATATATATATATACATTTATATATATATATATATATTCAATCTTACTCATGTGTGAAATTACCTTTAAGGACAAAAAATAAAAATTAAATAGATTTGATTATCTCTTTACACCCATCACACTTCAATCCCTACTTCTTTTCTTCTTTTCTCATTTCTTCTTTTATACTATACATCTACTTTCAAAAAGTAAGAATTATAGTGTTTTGATCAATAAGGAAAGTAATGGACAAAGAAATAGTGCTGAAGGACTAGCAAAATAGTAAAACGGTAAGTTTTTATTTTTATTTTTTATGCTTTCGTTTCATTTTTGAAGAGGGTTTTTGACTTTTGTTCATTGTACCAGAACAGAATAAAATCAGATAGTCTGGAATCACACTGTCAAACAAAAAATATCTGGTAACCCATAGCTGAACAAAAAATACTTATTCAGTAATCCACTGCCGAATAAAAAATGCATGTCTGGTAACTCACTACTAAACATTTTCAGTTTCATTTTTCTGACATTTTTATTTTTTTGGCTTTGAATGATTATACTTCTGTTCATTGCAGTAAGGCTAGTTATGCATTGTTAATTGTTTGTTAGATTTATCTGTTTCCTGGTCATCCAGTACTCCGAAAGCAAGTAATTGGATTTATTTTCATCACCTGTGTGCTAATGGATGGAAGAAAACATATATTGTTCGCATTGATAAATTCCGTGCGTTTGTCAGTCCTAATATAGTAACTACCTAAACTATAAATAAAGATGAATTGTGACAACATCTCAGTATTTTTTTTTATAAATTTTTGTATTGACAAATTTGAAGATATATGTATTGAAAAAATTTATGAATATTTTTATGAATATTTGTACACCTTATGTTTTTATGGATGTTTGATATTTTAAGAAAAGTGAATCTATAGTAAACATGCGACAACAGATGGCTGAAAAAATCTAATTTATTTGGTAACATGACACCGGAATAATCCAAACTATTTGACAATGTATAACCAAACAGACCCATAATAAACGTAGGAAAAAAATGTTTTAAGGAAAGTGAATTTGTAAATGTGTAGCAATAGATAGTTTTTTTTTTTTTTTGAACAAACAACAATAGATAGCTGGACAAATATAGTTTGTTTAGTAACATAACACTGGAGTAATTTAAAAGGAAAAGGTGTAATAAGAAAAACCTGTAGGGATTTGAAAAATGATTTAATTTATGGTTAATATTGATATTATAAAAAGTGTAATGAGAATTTTAATTATTTTTTAATAGTGTAATGAGAAAATAGATATTAAGAGATAAAATTATAGTGTAAATAGAATTTCTTTAGGAATTAAAAAAATCAATTTTCAGGATTCCATTGCATTAATTGTTTATTGGTAACCGTATTTAAGTCCAGGCTAAGTGATTATATGTGGTCAAGTGAGGCTGGTAAACTGCTCTACCAAACCCCATGTGATTTAATGCATAAGGAACCATCCAATTTATCCCTGAAAATGAAACGTATAAAAATATTCATTATTATCAAAATTAATAGATTTCACATTAGCAATGTGGGATGAGTGACTTTTTGTATATAGTGGTAAGCAAATTTGATAATAAATATGATTATGTTTATGCTAATCACCGTTTTTTTCTTTTCCTCTTATTTTTTTTTATTCAATTTAAAAGACTATATTATCTTTATCTTTATCTTTCTGTCTATTTGTCCATTGTTGGTCGCATGCGACTTTTTCAACTAGTCGCCACCACAGGCTATGGCGATAATTGATAGTAGTGCGTACAAATAGAGAGAGAAAGTAAAGATAAAAAAAAATACAAGGATAAAAAAATATTAAGTCCTTTAAAACAATGATTTATATTTCTCACCAATATATTTTATTAACCATATCTTTAAAACTAAAACAGATCAATCATTGAAGTTAATGACATAAGTTTCATCAAAATAGACTTATCGCCAATTTATTTATAATATTATAGAAGCATATTACAAACCTATAAAATATATTTTAGTTAATTATTGGTTATGATATTGTTGGCTTTTTTGGCTTTCGAAGGTTATTACAGTAATTTTGAGCGTGCCAACGATGATCAATCAGTCTTTACAGAAATTTAATAGCCAACAAATTATCAGACGATTGTGTTTTAGTTCTTTCAGCCTCAATGAAGAGGACTTTTATTGGTGGCTTTACTTAGGAGGAATAAACTGACAATGATTAAATGAAGAAAAATTGCAGTATTTCATTGAGTAAAACGAAAGACTTATAGTGATCCAATTCAGCCTCGTAGAGGTTTACAATAACAATTTACTTGAAACTACTCCTATGAACGAAGTGCAGTGTAGGAATTTTAAAGTACAGAAATACAAAGAACAGGAAATGTAAAACTGGAAAGGAAATAAAGTAAAATAAAATTGATTTTTTTTATCTGAGTCTGGGATTGTTTCTGGGACCTTCTCTGCTATTTATACTTCTCAAGGATAACCATCGAACGACACTTCTAACCGTTGAACTGCTCCTTCATGATCGCTGATCATGTTGCCTTATAATTAGCTCCACTATGCCAATACCTGCAGTTAGGCTTTCCTTCTGATTTTGAATTTAAATGTGAGTAACCGTTTAAAGCCACATCACTTTGCATCTCTTTACTGATCTAGTACTACGCAGATCTTATGAAACCCAATATTAACTGTCACGTGTACGATCACGATCGAAGGTTTGAATTGTCTTCCCGTATTACCCTCAACCTGCCACGTGTTGAATTATAATTGGCTTATACAAAATATGTAGCCAACATTACCCCCACACTAATATACCCAATACTTGGTGATATTAGTGGATCAAGGTATTTTCCCACGTCTTAGAACGTGCATGGGCTTTTGCATTTCTCAAAAATGCAACTGTCATTCATCATTTGCATTAAATTCTCGTCTAACCCTTGAACACTCCCACTATCTCAGTATTCGAAAAGTCCAATTCAATGGATAAACAGACCTTTTCTTATCTCGGTCAAGTATACGAAGAGTTGTTTGATAATATCGTTCGTCCTCGAAAGAATCTTCATGCATTAATTAGCCACCTTTACCCACCTTCCTATATTCAAATCATGGAAGCTTTTGCAAATTATCAACATTTGGATTATGAACACACTGTCCACAATTGTTTGATAAGAAATTTGCAAATATGGACATAGGAAGTTCTTCTTCTAATCCACAATCTTCTGCATGGGATGAGGCTGTGGCTTCTTCTTCCTCTAGGGCTTTTGGTTGGAGAAGCTGGTATCGACCGTCGACACAGTTTAGAGGACAATCTGCTTGTAGCATGGTACACATCCTCCATGCCTACAAAGATAGTACAAGCTACCCGACGCTCAGAAGAGGCACAAGGGTATAACCCATCGTTCTTAGCCCAGAAGGCGAGGCTTTGTTCTTCTGACTGGCTTGATTGTGTTAATGCCCCTCAGTTTCCTCCTTCTTTCGAAATGGAAGCTTCTATACCTCCTCCTCCGCAAAATCCTCGCTGGATAGAGAGACTGAGGCTTACCTTTTCTACAAACAAGGTTTTTCCTCCCTATAAGCCTCTACCTTCCCCTACTCCAGCTCAGTGAAAACAAGCCCAACTTCTGCTTGCAACCTTTTCTCACTTGCCTTTCAATGTTCTTGAAGACGATGTTCCTCTTAAGAACCTTCGATGGGCTTGTGATGTTATGACTCGGGGTCACATTCTCAACCCCATCGCCCAAGCAGAACTCCAAATGTTTTTGGACCAACTCCCGTTGCTTCTTCATTGGCACCGAACTTCTGTAGCCACCACCTAATCTTTTAGCCAACTTTCATCCCTTCGAGTTCATACCCAGTACGAAGTAGAGAACCTCATCAAAGAATATGATGACTTCAAGAATAACGACTCTGCGTACTGGGATGACTTGGATATGGATGAGCTGGAACAAGGGTTAAAAGAAA